AATTATATATATTCTTAACTTCAAATTAATTTTCAATCCATATTTGCTGGAGTTATTGGCACCAACTTAGCTATCCTTTACTTATTGGAGGAACATTGGTAATGAGAACGGTATATTGAGAATGGCATATAAAGGACATTGACATGATATGATGGCATATGGTGACAAATCCTGTTGTCACTTTAATGGCAATGAGAATGGTACTGTAATAGGTAGTGAAAATTGCATGACACTACCATTATATCCATTATGGAGAAAACATGGTAGTTCTAGGAACATTCTGATTGAAGATACTGTACGTGATTTCCTCCTTTTAACAAACATATATTTATTTAATAGTTGACTATCCTTTTCACTGTATCCTGTTTGGGAGTAGAATATTGCACCTGAACTGGATGGTGATTCACGACGTCTTGCTATGGCCATGTCAAGGGGGAAAATGACCATAGGCCTCTTGTCCCAGAAGTAGATTTTGTTGAAGGGTCATTGTGCACGAACAAACATGTTACAGATGTCATCTCAATGAAAACTTCACGTATCTTTATGTACGACATGATGTCAACTTCGGTCAAAGATTGGCGGAATTGTGACGCAATGACAAGAAAGCTGATTTTCCGGGAAGCAACCATGTGTCCCATCTACGAGGGTCCCTAAAGATACACATAGACATTGCCCAACGTTGAGGCGTCATGGTGAACGATCAGCCCTTGGTTTCCCCGCATGCTTTGGAAGAGATGATGGACACGGTGGGGCTGGGGACCAAAGGAGGCAAGTTATAAGTAGCATATAAGTTTATAAGTGGCATTTGGATGTACTCCTGGTGGGCTTAATAGACATGAGGAATTGGAGTTTTCAGACAACTATTGCGGGAAAGCATTGAGAACACAAGGATATCATGAACAATGATATGAGCATGTCAGTGAAAAAAGGAAGAATTTATCAAAATAAGCCAGTTGTGGTTTCTCCGTCACGGTTCTACGAATGTCATGTGTTGCTAGCGACGAGGAGCACGAGGTCATTTGTTTACTTTGGGAACTTTTATGAGGGCGCCCAATGGTCCAATTCTTATTTGGCAAAGACACGTCAAGGGTTGTGTAAGCCCGCTGGATGTAGATTCCATTTGGATGTAACCCATTTGTCAGCCGACATTGTCATGGACTGCTATATCAACTTGTATGTCCCTTACCATTCATTCCCTGCCATTCCACGTCACGTAAGTTGCAAAACACAAACATGACTTGCCTGATCATCCATTCACTTTCCTTCCCGATCCAAAGGTCGCGGTATTTAGGAAAAACAAAACACGCTTTGTTGATCAAGTTATATCAAACAATTAGACCACTCATGGCAAATCCCTTGTGTTTCGGTCAAATCACGTTCAATCCTCATTTTGTGTTCATTCAATCCTCAGTTGGCCAAACCCTTCCCCCCCATTTTGAATACCTCAAACAAAACCCGGGTTGAGTATTGGATTTGTCCATTTTGGTGGCGCATATGAGGGTATTCAATATGATTAGAGAATGCGATTCAGCATAATTGGTAAATCCCAGGAACTTTGTGAAATCAGATATCATACTTACAATTTAGTTTGAAAACATGTTCTAACCCTACCAAAGTGAAACTACACATACCCATACATATCATATAAGATTTACTTTGAACCTTAGTTATGTTCATTGACCATTTTAGCAAACCATGGAGCAACGTTTCCCGCAGATCTTGGTGGAGTTCCTCAGCGCGACCAGCTTCGATGCCAGTTTCGACTCCGCCAAAGCGGTGCGTGATGCTTGGATGAGTCGGAAGGCCGCTGAGTTCAGCGGGGGGTTCCATAAATGGGGGTATCCAAAAATGGTTGGTTTATCATGGAAAATCCCATTTAGAAATTGATGATTTGGGGGTCAAAAACTAACATATCATAATGGAAAATCACGACTTTTAATAGGTCAATAATAGGTTCCAGAAATGGGTGTGGGTGAACATTGGGTACCCCCAAAATGGGATGGTCAATACTAAGTTAGACGAAAATCTGTGGTCCCCAGCATGGTTTCGTAGTTGAATGCTAGAGAAGATGTGCTATGCCTGATATAATCGCCTGAATGTTCATTTGCATTAGAGAAGATGCCTGGAATAGTCCATTCCAAAATTGCTGCAGGTTCGACCCCAGCCATCCCAAACATTGAGGATTAGGTGTCCCTTTCGTCATGGCACCCGCAAATCATCCAAGTCATGGATGACCATGACTTGGATTCAAACCCATGGTGACGACTGGGGATCCCCCATTTCAAGAAACAATCATATGAAATATGAAATAATTATATGATGAATTCCAGGGGGATTACCCGGAAGATTCGGTTCTGATAGAAGGTTCCCATATTCAATAATCAATCCCATATGCTCCATAGAGTATTTACCAACATTTGGGCCATTATTGGGGTACATACTGCTAAATATTTCAGCACCATGGAGCATATGGGTCATATTTCAGCAACAATATGGGAGTCCAGGGAATGCAGAATGTGTGTGTGTGTGTGTGTGCATGTTTTGAAGTATTTCATGTGGATATAATGATGCAATGGGATATTCTATGGGAGGTAGAACCAAGAATATGATATGTGCCCTTATCCAAAGATGGGGGTTTACCTCCAATTTATCGATTTACGGCTATGGCCATTAAACGCTTGGGAAAATCCAAAGGATCAATGGAATTTTAATGGGAAAACCATCTATAAAGCTATAGATGGTGTTTTTTCATTGCCATGTTTGTTAGGATATCAGGGGATTGTGAATGGTGAAGATGTCCATAGTCCAGAATTGATGGTCCAAAATTTGCATGGACCCACTACACTAAACATTAAATTTGTGTGTTTGCTCTAATGTTTATTCATCATTCTTATCGTTATTATATTATGTACTATGCATGATTATTATGTAATATATCAACCACCTGCTGGTTGGTGGTTTGGAACATTTTTATGTTCCCTTATATTGGGAATGTCATCATCCCAACTGACGAAGTCATATTTTTCAGAGGGGTTATATATCTCAAGCACCAACCAGATTATGAACTTAACCATCATTAACCATATAATAACCATCAATATTAGCCATTATTAACCATTATTAACAGTATATGAACCACCAGTTGTGATTGGTATCTCATCATGGGGCCCCTGGGGGCTGGCAGCTGAGGAGAACTTGGCCTTTCAGCTGCGCGATCAACGCATCTTCATCACCGAGGCGGGGGCAAAAAAACTACACTCTGGTTATTTTTTCTTTGCCATGGAAAATGGCCCATTTATAGATGATTTTCCCATTAAAAACTCCATTTATAAGGGATTTTCCATGGCTATGTTAAATAACCAGAGGGTATGGAAAATCACCATGTTCAATGGGTAAATCCACTATTTCGACTGGGCCATGTTCAATAGCAAACTGTTAAATTACCAGAGGGTATTGAACATGGTCCATTTATAGTTGATGAACCCATGAGAAAAAGGATGTTTTTTCCATAGTTATGTTAGTTTACCAGAGAGTATCTTCAAAAATGATAGATGTTATTAAGCATAGATATGGAAAATCCCGGTTTCAATGGATAATAATCTGTAAATGGGCCATGTTTCATAGTTATGTCAAATTACCGAATGGTATACAGTTGAACCCCGTATATATATATATGCATATACATATGCAGTATATATCATTATATATCCATGTATTACTATGTACTGTAACGTAACTGATTGTAAATTATTTGAGAAGGGGTGCTTGAAAACCAGGTCAGTATCACCCGTCAACTAGCGGATAGGTTTGCTAACCCAACCCATCCTAGTCATGTGATCCGTCTACCTGTGGTCTCTAACATAGAGATCAGTGCATCAGAATGGTAGTAATTGAATATACAGCTCTCTATGTATTGCATATGTATAATTATATATATATATATATTTATGTTTATATTTATGTTTTTATTTATATACACATCACAATTATATACCTGTGTGTGTGTCCTAATTTAATGCAAGTTAAATTGGGCCTAGACAGTTAGGCTCAGGAAATCAGAATAGGTAGTGTAGATGTTTACTTGTACCCCAGCTGTGAATTCTGGATCCCCACTGAGCAGATCAAGGTACTGAGTCTCCTGAGTCTCTCTAATCAAAAATAGCTGGCTGTTGAAAACTCCCCCATTTGGTTTGATGATTTTCCCATTACAACACTAATCTGGTTGGTGGTTTGGAACATGAATTTTATTTTCCCCAGTAGTTGGGATGATGATCCAATCTGACTAATATTTTTCAGGGGGGTTGAAACCACCAACCAGTAATCATGTGTTGGATTTTCCATTGCTATGTTTGATTACCGGAGGGTACGAACACAATGGTTTTGGATGCGGATGTTCATTTGAGTTTGAAGGCTCACGGCCAGGGATGTTGTACACCTACCGTACCAGTGCATACAAAAACGGTCAAGCCAGAGCTGTTTGTTGCTCCAATCCCAAGGTGATCAAAAGCCTGTTGGAAAATCTACCATCTATAGATGTTTTTTTCTCCCAGCTATAAACCTCCATTTAGTTTTGGAATATTCCAGCCACGTTTGATGACACCAGATACTGTTTGATCCAGACTTTGCGGGATACGTAGCTCTGCGGGGCACTCCTTCTCTTTCACCCAGACAATGTGGCGCATTTGTCAAAAAGAGTATGACCGAAGACACTGCCTATACGGGTTCCATGGTTTAAGGTTTCAGGGTTTGGCGTTTCCTTTTTTAGAAAGACAACAGAAGAGTGGTCCTGCGCAGGGTTTTTGAGCATGTCAAAAGGATATGCGGGATCCGTCATGGGCAAAGATCTAGTCAGCGAACATGTAAACACCATTCGAAATCCGGGAGGTTCCAGCAAGATCCCTCTCGTTTAGACCTATAGATACATTCAGAAACAGTTGGTTGATGAAATTCAATTTTTTGTGGTGCTTCTGCTCTCCATTCGTCAACAAAAAGCACCCCAGGTGAGAAAATTCCACGCGCGGTCTCTTGGGGTGGACCTTGGATGCCAGTTGCTGACAGTCAATGGAAAGAAGGTGCGGTGGGAGGTCAGGAGCAGAATCCACAACCATTCGGTGTCACAGATTGCAATGGGATGCAATGAAAAATTCCTTGTCAGATATTTTAATGGGAAAACCATCTAGAATCCAGAAATGGACGATTTTCCATTGTCATGTTTGATTACGGGAGGGGACAACAGCAAAACGCTTTAAGACACAAACATCAGAATTTCATCAACAAATCCTGGGTGTAAATACGCATGGGACCGGGAGATGAAGGCCAACAGCCACCTATTCATGTAGATGACTTCAGTTTGTTGTTTCTTCTGTGGCAAGGGGGTTGGGTCTAGTCCATTCAAATGTCTTGGATTCAATCCACGTTTTCTGGGTGCTGCATGATCATAGACTACCATAAAATAATGCCTTATACAATTCAGGCTTATTTATTCTATAATTCACTTGAACATCATTTGAAATCTTACTGGAAAATCACCATTTGTCATGGGTATATCAACATTTTCTATGGCCATGTTCCATAGCTTTTTGTATGTTTACCAGGCCGGGTACCTTGAATCATTTCAACCCCCATGAGACGTTTAAACGTCTCGGAGATCCGATCTTTTCGCTGAAACCCCAGGCGTTGGAGCTGCTGAAAGGCGAAAAGGACTTGGCCTTGGAATCCCTGGCGCCTCCCTATTTGTCGCGCCGAAGCAGTGTGACATGCGGAGCTGTCCGTTTTGGCGGATACCATGGCAATTATCATTGTCAGAAGTATCATCATTATCATCATTATCATAATATATCAGAATATATCTGGTTGGTGGTTTGGAACATGGCTTTTATTTTTCCATATATTGGGAATTTCATCATCCCAACTGACTATATAATATTTTTCACAGGGGTAGGTATACCACCAACCAGAGATATATATATACCCATCACTGGGCCATCAGAATTTGCCAACCAGTCATCAACCAAGTCATGGATGACCATGTTAGTATAGGTTAAGCCATGCCCAAGAAATCCATGGGGACTGACCATCAAATAACCATCAAAAACAAACCTTTGGGGGGAGAATGATGATTAACCCATAGGTTACATAGTTATAGCCCTGAAAAGTAAACACATGCTTATAATCAAAAAAAAACTGTCAAGGGTCAAGGGTCATAGCCGTGGGGATTCACCATGGCATCATCAGGTTTCAGGGGGGAAAACATGATGATTAACCATAAACTATGTAAATTCAGAAAATAGTTGCATGAATGGAATATCAATGGAATGTAGGCTAAAATACCTCCGGTAACCAAACATGGCTTGCTGGAAAATCCCCCATCATTGCAGCTGGCCATGTTGAATGACACCTAGATTCGGGTAGCCCGAAAAAACCATCCCCAATGACCGAAGGGTATCAATGGGTGGTAATTAGCACCAATATGAACGGTGACAATATGGTCATCCCCAGAAGGGATCCGCCAAAATTGGGGATGCAGCTGGTAATGCTTCCTAATGTTTGGGAGCTTTGGGACGTGAAATTCTTTGGGACACAGGGTCATGCTTGCCGGTTGTGTTTTTTTTTGAATGGCATGATGGCAGATAACACAAAAAAAAGATCGCCGAGCTGAAATCGCTTCATGTTTCCACCCCAACCAGAAGATTTGTCACATGCAAAACCTACACTAATACCTATCTAAACAGCCGTCGAACAGGCGGCAGTACAGACCACTTGACATACCATACATAATATATAAGTTTGATATGTGTCAATCACCATCAATCAGTTTGTTTTTGATATTTGATGGTGGCACCGTAGCAAAATGTAGTTTACTAGAATTAGTTGAGGGAAGATGTGCTCAGGAACCCCAAGCCGCCTCTTGTTTGCATTGCCCTTTCATTTTTCCCTTATAATAACCCCAAAAAGGTAGACAAGTAAATTTCTACTTACAGTAAATAGTGATAAATCACTTGTCCATTTTTGTTGGGGTCATTATAAACATATTATAAGCTAACCCATTTTTTGGTCGGTTGGGCCATGCTTCTCCATGCCGAAAGTCGAGGCTTCGACTTCGACAAAGTGGGCCCAAACTCCTGTGCCACCAAGGCTCAGAAAGCATGCGGGATGCAGCTTCAACCCCAACCATCCCAAACACATTGGTTTCACTGTAGAGATCTGTAGAGTACAGAGATATGTATATATATATATATATATGTATATTGTTATGTAATATGCGGATGCGTATGTATTTATACATGCATGTACATGTAGATGCATGAAAGATGTACGTGAATAGGTTCATCTCACCATATTGGTCCAAGGCATACTCGATCCCCGAACCCATTCATGACGCAGGCTGTAATGCCATGTGCGATGGCGGCCATGTGATGAAGGCCCAGTACTGCGGTGGCGTTCTGTGTCCCGAGGGCCATGCTCTGATCCTTGTCGTTCTGTGGAGCGTACGCTTGTTTGAGCAAGAACATATTCTAAAAAATAGATATGTTTATATACAAGTATACAGCATACAACATCATATCGTTATGTATATATATCATACGTAATACAACATAATACAACATAATACAACTATGTATATATATATATGATTCTTGGTGGTCAATCGATACAGAGAGAAGGGTTAATGGTCAAATGCATTGACCACCCAGCTGTCGCTCTCGCTGATGTCACTGCACCCAGGAAGTGTCTTCCCTCGCCGGAAGCAGAGCAGTGCTGTGAGAGTTGTGGGGTTCAGTTGGAGGATGAGATGATTTTGGGATGTCCGACACTTGGCAGGGAACCATTAAACATACCCCTGTTGATTGGTTGTAAAAAAGGTGGCTAATATTGGTTTTAATGGACTTTCAAGATAGGAATATCACTGATAAATGATGGTTGATATATTCTTGGATGTTTTGCTGAGTTGATGATTTTTGTGATTGTTTTTTCCCAATTGGACATCCACTACTTGGGGAATCTATAGGGAATACGTTTTTTTTTTTGCGGGTCCGTCAAGCAAATCCAAGTCATAGGGGCTCATAATACTACCTTGTTTGTTGGGGATGACTACAGTCCAGACTGGGGATACCTTAAGAATGGGATGGGAAAACAGGGTAATTCCCGTGGCTGAGATGGGTTTGTTTGAAAATAAGAGGCAAAACACCTCTAAGTTGGCTGATTCATCATGTGTCTTGTCAAAATGGTAATAACATGGAGGCCATCTCCCATTTAGCCACAAATCCAGATAGCTTGTGAGTGGCCGTGGGGTGATGGTTGAGATGTAGTGTGAGTGCCCCCATTGTGGTGGCCCATGTTCTTCAGCGTAGTTTATCTACACATCCAAACAGGAAACATTCGAACATCATGATAAGCATGTGTGAATGCAAACAAATATATGTTGTAGAATTTATCTGTAATTTGCAAATTATAATACCCAGGAAATCCATGGAAATCCGAGGTTGGTTTAATTTAGCCAAGCCACAGTGGCTGATCCTCCCAGGCAATGCTTGGAGGACCATGTTCGGCTCCCATCATCAAATGAACCTTGGTGGATCCCAACTGGTGGATGCACAGTTTATCCAATGGCGGCCAGTGATTTTCAGGAAATTCCAAGAGCAAGCTTCTGAATAATATGTGAAGGGATCAAAGGGATTACAAAGAACTGACATGAACGAACAGATTAGCACTGAAAAAGGGCCAAGTTCGTTGGTGATTTTGGGTTTCTTTGCCATAAACAAGGTAACTTTAAATTCCAAAGGTTGGGCACGGTCAAGGCATGCGGTCAGGTTTTCCAGGTGTGTTTTTTCCTGTCATTGAAACGAGCTGCATCATTAAAACATGACGAAACATGGGACTTGTCACGTTTATATTTGTTGGAAAGTTGGTTAACAAGTTGGAATGTCCAGCCTGAGCCCAAGGACAAATACAACCTTCTGTGCTTTCGCTGCGGCTGGCGACTGTCGGTGAAGAATATGAGTGGGGAAGATTCCCCGTAGCTCGTATTGAAACAGACTTGGCCAGTTTTGGTGGGAGTTTCATTCACCATTTTTTTTGATCTGATCAGAAATTCATGAAATTTGACCAGATTTCATCAACGTTTGATGTTTGTGCTTTTGTTGGTGTTCATTGGTTGTGTAGATGTGATTTCATCGAAATTTCATAAACTGCAGCCATGGGGGCCCCCGGCAACAGCCAGGTATAAGAGCCGTGGTGAGGTGCACTGCAAAGATTGCGGCAGGAGTATCATGGAGCAGGTACGAAAGTAGCGACGAAGTCGCAACACTGGAAACAAATGGATGTTTAACGGTTGATCCAAGTCATCAAAACAGATGCAGAATAATGAAGATAAATGATAGATATATGTATATATGTAGATAGATATATTCCACAAAATATATGAAACATATAAAACATGGATGACTTGAGGCTGTTTCAAGGTGTTTTTTAAGCACATCTCGATTTGTGGCATCATTTTTGTAGGTTCCGGGTGCACGATATGCTACCTGTGGTGTAGGATTTCATCAGGAACTCCCAACTATAATGTAACTACAGTTGAACACATACCTAAAAAATATCCCCATGGAGCCCCTTGAATGCTATGGCGCATCCATTCAATTCCGATGGCGCTGTTTTCTCGCAGGATGAGGAGTTTGCAGGGCACCCTGATGCACGACGTTTTTATCACTGTCCCAGTTGCTGGGAGGATGGCATCAAGGAGGATCGATGCTACTTTTGCAGCTTGCCGAGCCACACGGTATCACACGGTTCTTGTGGGTCAACCAGTCAACCACGCAATTTCTGTTGTTGAAATTGCCCTCCTTTGTCGGGTCCCCACAGTTTTTAGGAGTTCAACATGATGGAAGAGTCAATTCTCCAAGATGCTAGAGGGTGTTGCTAGCTCGAGATTTCCAGACGTCCAACTATTTCGTGTTCAAATCCCAATTCCTTTAGGGCAACACCATTTTCTTCATTAAATTATATGTGTATATATATATATACATATAATATGATTTCCCGATTGTTGGTGTCTTTCCCCTAGCTCCCAGATTGCCCAAACTCACTGTTGTTGTTGGTTAATTGCCCAAACTGTGGAGTTCCCGTTGTCAGTGGTCGAAACCTCCCCCATCATGTTTGTTGCTCAATTGATTATTGGCATTCCTTCCAACATTTCCCAGAAATTCCATCACAGTTGTTGAAAGTAAACAACATAAACTCGCATAAAGTACCCTAGACAGCCTTAAACTCGCAAAAACTGCCAGAAACTGCTAAATGTGACGGGCCCATGTTAAATTATAACGACCTCACGCTGCGACGTCACCCGAAATGATGGATTGGGGTAAAAAAAATATGCCCAAAATAGCATCAGATAGCCTTACTATATATCCTTACTTTTAAAGCTAGGGAATTTTCACGATTTATCCAGAGAAATGACAAACAAAATCGTCCAGGTAGCATTCGACACTTGGCGTGCCCAAAGGCCCATCGTATGGTGCCCTGTGTCTCGGCAAACCGGGTGGTCTCCAAGGGTCGAAAATGGGGTCAGAATCGGTAAAACCCAAAAATGCTGAGATTCATGGGAAGATTGGGAAGTTCATGGGAAAAAGAAACTGGTATATATATATATATTACACGATTTTTATGTCGTATACATAAATAAGTAAATAATATATATATATGTGCGTGTAGAATAAACAATCCGATAAATGGGCGAGTTTGAACAGACATAGGGTATGCCGCTGGATATTTAACCATTTAACCGCATTTGTTTAGGCTTCGGGTCAGGGACAAGGTAATAGTGGCAATATTTATCGCAGCGATGATGGTCTGAATATTTACCCTCATCAAAAATGGCCATGGAAAATCCGTTCAATTCTATGGATGATTTTCCCATTACAACCTCCATGTATAGGGCATTTGCCATTGACAAGTTTGATAACACCGGAGGGTGTTTATTTTGAGCCCAGGTTTGAAGTCTCCCTTCTTCGAAGACTTGGAATGCCTGGAATGCCACAGTGAGCTCTTTCCCCGGGAGGCGTTTTTTGTTGCGCCAGGTGTGTGTTTTTTTCAAAATAGCTGGGGGAGGCTTGGAAATATGAGAGATGTTTATATATGTTTATATTGCATATTAAATATGCAATAATTATCAAACAATATCAAACAAATATAAGCTTATATACTGTACTGTACAAGTTGGGTATCCTTAACCAACAAAAAAAAACAAAAAAAAACATATATTTGAACCAAAGATTTGTGTGCGTTTTTTATGAGTTGGAGTTGCTCGTTTTTGTATTCCCCTAGCAGACTGGCTAATGTTTCACCAACCAGAAAAATCAGGTTCCCCAAGTTCACCCTTCGATGTGATCATTGTTCGCAAGATTGTTGATACTCCATGAGGTATGCTTCAAACTTGTTTAAGTGTATTTTTTACATGTAGTTCTAACTTTCACCATGCGTTTATGGATGTTTATGCTGAAATGTTTCATCTGAACCACTCTGAGACCCAGCCCTTTTCCAGGCTGCATACCATTGCGGAAACTGCTGGTGGAATGGGAAGCGCAGCTCCAGATGTGAGAGCTGTGGATCTTTGAAGCAGTTGAAGCTTGCCCCACAGCTTGAGGCGGACAAGAGAGAGGATCTGAATCAAGTCTTGGTCACATCTAAGTGATGCCATTCAAATCTAGATGATTGTGCGGAATCACGCGGATTCATGCGGAATCACCTTTAGTATTTTTTTTGTAGCAGCAGATTTTCCCCAGTTTGCAGACCGCTTTCCGCTTCTGCTGATGTTCCCTTGCCACCTCCAATTGTTGGAGGGTACATCCTCTTGGTTGCTACTTCGATACGTATTCCACTTGCCTAGCCTCTTTAGCAAGTCCCCTGCGTGTGGTTTTCTAATATATCACTGCTGAACCTGAAACATGCAGGCAATGACCAACTACCCTCTGGGAATTGGATTTTGCTATAGCTATGGAAAACCAACATCTTCAATATATACTCTTATATATATATGTTATAAAGCATCTATAAATGGTCCATGTTTCATATTGTCGGGTGGCTCGCTTGTCTCGCCCTCAGCTACATATGATCCATTGTCCATTGGTATTCCACATAATCATCCCAGTCATAGTTCTATAATGTTCCATATAGTATTCCATCAATCCCATTACCCCAGTGGAATAAAATCCAAGTCGGATGCGTTTTTGCCAAAGTCATGGCACGGGGGCTCTATTTTTTGGCTGCCAAAACCAAGGCGTTCTCGACTTTCCTGGGGGTTGTCCATTCTTTTCCCATTCCAACATGTTTTTTTTCCCTGGGAAAAAATGAATATATGTGTTTGAAAAACAGGACTTTTTTTTTCCATTATTTCAGAAATTCTGATTCAAACAGCATTTTTATGTATGTGTTTTCCTTCTGTTCACACTATAACTGAGGCCCCCCAGTTATAAGTTGGTTTAGATTCGCCCCAGTAACTATAGTTACAAGTACCATAAACCATAGTTATTGGAGTTATGTTCACCAACTTAGCTATCGAACGGGGGCCTCACATTGCACGGAGCACTGTGCCAAGTCATGGCTGAGGATGTACTGCATCGACCCCAACGCTCGTCTCCAAGTTGTGGCTGGCGACGCCGCGAAGGTGGTTCGGACTGAGGGTGCCCGTTCGTCTTAGACCTGGGCAAAAGCAATGGGTTTGTGGTAGGATAAACTCACTTCTAGATGTGGAAAATCAATGAAAATCAAGCATTTCTAGATGATTTTCCTATAGGAAAACCATATGTTTTCCACATCTTAGTTTTACCTTCGGGTAATGGGAAATACTCAAGTGGTCCAACTGGCTTGGCTGCTTTGTCGGTTGTATCTGTACCAGATTTCACCGAATCATCTGAATGTCCCAGTAGCCATTTGATACATGATTTCATACACGTCCCATCACGTCCCTAAGGAAATAAATTGGGACCATGATAAAGCCTTTGTTTTTTCAACTTGTCTTTTTTAATATATATATATATATTTATATTTATATGATGTCATGTTATCCAATTATAATATAGCCATATATCCCCATTAAATGGTTCTAACATGTTCTAACCACCATAGAACTCTTATTTCTAGGTCTCCCGGTCGCAGGCCGATGTCACTTGGGGCGCGGCCTTCGAGCCTCTGGGGCGCCTTGGCGTAGAGTCCATTCCAGGCTTTTGAGTGTTCCTGGGTACATAACTGGTTGGTTAATAGTGGTTAATAGTGGTTAATAGTGGTTAATGAAATATCTGGTTGGTGGTTTGGAACATGGCTGGATTATGACTTTCCCATCATATTGGGAATGTATGGGAATGTCATAATCCCAACTGACGAACTCATATTGTTCAGGGGGGTTGAAACATGTTGAAACCACCAATGAGCTGGGTACATCATGAATTTCCAACCACAGATGTTGGAGACCTGTTGTTTTTTTTCCAGCTGGATGATTCTCTGGGTAAATGATGACCAGCATGTTGCGACCTCACTGGAATGACGGTGAATGGTTGGCTAGCTATCCCCACATGGCCTTTCAGGTCTGTGAATTATTGTTATTTACACAGAAGGATGTTTCAGCCAGGTGGATGCTATTGCTCTTAGTGCGTCAATGGTGAAAGCTTCATAGCCTTCATAGCATTGCTTTGGAAGTTCTGCTATGTTTGAATGTAGCCCCGATTCAACACTTCTTTTTGAGAAAGCAACGGAAAGCTGCTGTAAGGATGTGCACCTAGTCACCCTACTTGGCCCCAGGCATTCGATGGTATGCTGCGGCGAGGACACTGAGATGGAAGTGGATATAGCTATGAAACTAAGAGGTGCGATGATTGCTCATGAATCTCAAAAAAAGAAACCTAACCACATCCATCTATTTGTGATCGCAATCACATCCATCCCACCGTTTTTTGTGTTTTTAGCTGACCAAAGCAGCTGTCAAGTCTTGGAAAGGCTTGATTTATCCTTTGGGAGCACGGATGTCTTTGTCCTCCATCTTCAACTTCTGCGAGGTTGGGCTGGTGCTGGGTTTCGGGCATGATGCTCTGGGGAAAACTGCTGAAAATCTAGGAAAAAGAACAGGGAAACTGTGGGAAATTGCGTCCACTTTTTTCCAGACTAGGACCGATTTTGTGTGCTTTTTTTCTCCTTGGGGATGCATCACAGAGATAGGTAACCGACTCACCAACCATCACACAGGATGTCCACTGTGTTTGCAAGGGCCCTTTTTTTCGTCGCTTGGAAAAAGCAACTGGTTTTGGCAGCTGGCTCCGAAATGTGCCCGAATCTTTTCGAAAACCATTGTGCATGAATCTTTCACGATGCGTATCTTTATTACCTTCCCCCTATCTCCCCTCAAAAATATACTTTAAACCATGTCAAACCATGTTAAATCACCATTTTGTTGTTGCTTGAACCCCTATAAATGCAATTATAAATATGTGTTGCTTTCATGGCCTTCCCTAGTTTCAGGCCACCGTGATCAGCCTCCATGAGACGGGAAAATACGTCCTGCGCCTCGACGGAAGATCGGGAAAGCAGCTGCTGTTCGAACCAGATCTGGGGAACCACGTGGCCGCGGGCGTGTGGCGCTGCTTGGTGGAGCTTGGTGGTTTTGGGCCTGGGAAGGGGCAGTTAGGAAGTTGGGTTTATGTTGGGTTTGGGCTTTTGGGATACATTGAAGTTGAATGAAGTTGAGGGAGTCCGAAGGGGTCCGAAAGGGCTTTGCAAATGAATGCGAATAACACTACCTGTTCTGTGGCCTTGTTTCAGGTTATGGCGTGGGTCAGAAGCTGATGGTCTTTGTAGAAGGCCACCTGGCGTGCGCTTGTGTGGCAAGAAAGGTGGCGTTGGTTGATGGGCTTCAAGAATAGCCAAGAAAGAACAAATAATACATGTTAGTTTTCTACAGGTATTTAACGTTTTCTTTTGAAAGGTGTGCAACCAACAACTGGTTATAAGATTGAACTGGAACAGACTGCCGATCAAAGACTTTCATTCGAGTTAACTAGCAGCTTTGGTGTCCCACTGCCCCAGGTAAATGGAGAGAGCTCAGAGTGCACAAAGTCAGCACCTATGGGAATCAGCACATTTTGGAGGAGCCGTGGGAGCCTTCACTGGCTCTGCGGATTGTGGATGCCCCCAAAGATCCTTCATCTCACAAAGGTCCTGACACTGTTCGACACAACATGCCTGGAAAATCAATGAACATTCCCCCAAGAACGCAGACGATGTACATATATTTCCAGTAAAAAAAGGAGGTCCTGGATAGTATCATATAGTATATATTCAAATTAGTTCAGAACTATAATTGTAATAATGATAGTAATAAGGATGATGATGAGAATATTTGGTTGATATGTATATATATATATATGTGTGTGTGCATGTACGTGGATTGTAGATGATTATAGTATTGATTTGCCCTGTAGTTTCCCAACATATCTGATTTAGATTACACCTGACTTCCAGCCATGGCCAGGAGGTTGGCAAACAGCTGCGCTGGGAGATCGATCTCAACAGTTCCCATGGGGGACCCAATGGGAGGGGCCCGTGGGGCCTGGATGTTGTTGGCGCCCAAAACAAGCGGTGGAAGTTTGTTGAGAAATGGAGTTTTTCTATGGTGAATATTGTGATTTAATAGGATGATTTAATGTTCAAAGCCCCTGTTGGTTGATGATTAGTTTGGGGATTCTACTAACCATTTTTTGGGGGGGATTATCACACGCCATGAGGGGAATACCGTTATGAAAAGGTATAAAGGGACGGCAGAGGATTGTTTTGAACACTGCTCCTACGAGCTGAATATGTTGACTTGTATTGATTTGCTGAAGCTTGTGTTTGAAGAGATTCTTGCGCTTCTACTAAGTTGTACCCGCTGCCCCAGCTTGTGAGGTGGCTTGGGAATACACCTATAACCCAACACCATCATACCGCTGAGAAGTGTTTTCCAGATTCAAAGGTGGTCGCAGATGCTTGAATGTTCCATCCTTGATCGTAGACCTCAACTAGCCAGACGGTTTACTGTTGACAGCATCAAATCGCAGGGAAAAAAGTTCACGAGTGTTTTTGACGGTATCCCACGGTGAAGTGGTGGTTTGTTGGTCGTCGCAGATGGAATGCCTCCAATGGGCTATATATATATATACATGTATGTATATATATATATCAACCAAGGACAGTACATAGCATCGGAACCCGGCAGGGAAAGACAGTTTTGTAGGGTCCTTGGCCCCCAACATCGCTTTACTCCCCGACTGAAAAATCCCCAGCGATCCGATCAATCTCTGCCAGAAATCACCAGCTTCCGACAGTTCCAACTTCGCCGAGGTTTCAACCATTCCCCTGCTTGGCTCCCCCTGGACGACTGGTGGTTGGAATTGAGGCGCTGGGAGGAGCTGCGGGTACCATGGGGGTTCGGGGCTGATGATGGCTGATGCGCAGTGGCTGCGATCTACCCCCGCTGGGTGATGATTAGTTCGGGGACTATATATAGCCAATATAATTATGGGGAATATCACACCCCATATGAACGGGGAAATCCTATCAACTAACCCAGTTTTTGCCAATTTGTTCAACTGGGACTCATTCACGTTGATTTGAAAGGGGGATCCATGGGCAGTTTGATATGTTTGGCATGAGTTGAACCTACCAGCCAGTTGTACATACTCTGCAACAAGCGACTTGACTTCGCTGCCTTCATTGCCAGGTTTGGACCTTCCAAAAGATTGCAAAACAGTTTACCCTCTGGTAATTTAACATAGCTATGGAAAATCACCATTGTTAATGGGGTAAATCCACTATAAATGGCAATTTTCAATAGCTATGTTTGTTTAGCAGAGGGTAACCTGTTTACCGTTTACCTCTATTCTAGTCGGCATTTACGTTTCCATTCTTTTTGGGCCGAGAGTTGCTATTCTGGGGTAGGCTTTGATGGAGTCGATTCGCCATAGCGTCCTGGCATAAACTCTGCCATGGGTTGTGACAACCGCAAAGTATGGCAATGAACATACAAGTAGGTACAATGTGGTTAAAACAATAACAAACCATCCCCCAAATCACCACAAATAGGTGGTATAAACCATTCCCAAATGGGTAGTTTATTATTGTTTCAACCACATTAGTGGTTTTAAGCGGCACAAATGAGAATAAGGAATTCATCACTCGCAGGACATGCTGCTGTGCTCTTTGGGTGCCAGTGACGTCTTCACCGCACAACCGTTGGATATTTTGACCTTGAGCTGGCCCCTTGCAGATGGGAAGTATCTTGGTGAAAACTTCTGGGATGCTCCAACTGTGAGTATTTGTTGGGTAGTGTATTGTCCTGCTGTGGGGGGGAAATGTAAAATGCAACGCCAGCTATTGCTAGCTAAACATAGCTGCCTCCTTTGTTTGGTGGCCATGACCAGATCAAGGCAGCTACTTGGTAACCTTTGGTAATATCAAACCTGGAAATGGAGAATTGTCCAGTTGGAGGTGATTTACGGTGCACATTTTGCCAATTTCCAGCTGAGATTCCTGCATGGTGTAGGCAACATCCCCAAATCCATCGGTGAATCATTTTGATGATCCCGGAAAATGTAATTATCCATAATAGTATATTTTAAATTATTTTAATATATATATATATATGTAGTAGCATCATTTTCCGCAACAAATGCTGTTGGTCAACAGCCCGCTGAGTGATGGTGACCCCGGTGACCCCGGTGACCCAGGGCCCGGTTCGTGAGGTCGATCTGTGCCGATCCCGGCATTGGCATCTTCAGCAAGGTCCCCGATGTGGATCCAAGCTCCAAAGCTGAAGACGTCTTTTTTTGCGGGGATCAAGATGAAGGGTCGAAAGACTTTGGGGAATAGATGATGTAGGGATATTGCTGGGATTGAGATTTGTTGATGTGTTTGATTTTCTTTGATTTGTTGGTGGGATGTTTGGTTACAGTAGTGGAAGGCCGTGATGTGACGGATTTTGTTTGATATCATTTGAATCACTACACGTTTTCATTGATTGAATCCATGAACATGTCAAAAACACAAGGATAGTTTACCCTCAAGCGCCCATAAAAGAGAAAACACATTATATAATATTATATATATATATATGTATTTGTTTATTTTTTTTATAAGGATAGTTTGTAGAATTGAGTTTTACTTTTCTATCTTTTGGGTGGTGCTATGTATACCCTGCGGGAATCAAACGTAGCTTGCCAGAAAATTCTGCATTTATACATAGATGTCTTTTTTTCTCACCGCCAGTTACGAGGGATTTTTCATTGCCACATTTGATTAGCGGATCGTAAGCCCAGGAATCATGGGCTTGATCACCCCAGAATCATATTGTATACCCTTTGGTAAACTGGTAAACTAACATAACTACGGAAAGTCACCATTCCAAATAGCTAAATCAATGACAAATGGACCAAATGGACCATGTTCAAAAGCTATAGTTAAATTTCTGGGGGGGGTACTATAAACACAGTTTGGATTATACTATTATATGTTATACTATAAATACATGTATATCACCCAGCAATATTAATCACCCCCTATATACCCTCTGGTAAACTGTCCCATAACTATGGAAAATCACGATTTTTCATGGGAAAACTCACTATAAATTGCCATTTTCAATAGCAATTTTGACACAACCAGAGGGTAAAAGCACTTTTTGCTGGATCCACTGAGGGTCCAACTGTTGTCCAACTCGTCTACTTCAGGTCTTTGGTCCCAGCTGCTCCGCAGCACCACGCAACGCTCCCAGGGGCGACACCAGGGCTATGCCACGGCGGCGGCGCCCGTGCTGCTGTTTCTTGGGTGGGAAGTTGCCGAAAACCATGGAAAAAACTTCTAGTTAATGGTGATTTAATTTGATTTATAACATATTTATGATAAAACCAAGCAAAATTAAGGATTGAATGATTAAACCATCACATTTTATTGATCTAAGCAACAACAATGAGGATTGAATGGAATTTAACGTTGATTTATGATAGCTAAACTTGACGCACATAGCTTGGTCAATGGGGTTTATGGGCGATATAACTATAGTTCATGGGGGTTATAAACCAACTTATAACTATACGTATAGTTAAATCCTGGGTTTGCGAAATGATGATGTTTATTTTCTGAATGGGAAATCCACTACTTGAAGTAATCCATAGGGGAGTTCCTGGACCAGCAATTCAAGTTTGGAGGAGTTTCTTCAACCATGTTTGAGTATTGGTGGGCTGCACATAATACATCACAATACTGGGTGTATATGTTTCAGTCGTGGAATATGATGATTGACAGATATCAGAAACCCGATTTTATATAGTGAATTTGTCGTTCATTCTTATGTCATTAACGCTTTAGACACTCCGGTTTGATGATATGGTTCATTCTTCGGCAACCGACCCTGGTCCCCCATTTGCAACAGGCACATGACCTGCAAAGAGGATCGAATAGGTACCCCTTTCCATTACCAGATTCGATGACCAGAAGGTGCCACATGACTCTCAATTATCCTACAATAGTCCACATTATATCTTAAACCAATGATCAAAGTTAGTGTTAAATGCATGTTGTAAACACTGGTCAAAACATGTATGTATATATATATATATACGTATATGTATATTTATTTATTTATTGGCGGTGGAAAGAGATGTTTTATATAAAACATCAAATGCGTGCATTCTAAGAAGCATGATGAGGCATGTGACATGTTCAACACAATCTATTCTTGGAATGTCGATCTATGATAAGGTGATTGTCAGATGCAACTAGATTCGTGAAATAGATTCTAATTCTAATCTTGAATGTAGATCTGTGATTGGGTGATTATCAGATGTTTATCAATGCTGATCTGTTGATCATTAATTCCTCTTTAATTATTCTTGATGTTGATCTACGTTCTTTCTCTTTGATAAAACACCTGTGACCGCGGTGTTTATCAACTGACCTTGGTGACTGGCACTGTTATGGCTGATGGTGAATTACTGTAGCCCTTAATAATTAGTCTCATTTCGTCAAAAAGGTGTATTATCCATTATCAATAATAACCACTGTAGTATTAGGGGATAAACCACATAAACCATATAAAAATAAGAGAGAGAGAGAGGGATGATATAATATATATATATATAAGAAAACAACATTTAAAAACACCATATATCATATCTATATTCATTAATATCATAAAACGATCATGGAACTATCCACAAATATCCCGTCCATCAATATATAACCATCGGAAATACTATATACCAAAACATTATTGGATTGCATCTAATATTACAAATACTACACAATCACTAGGGATATCTACTGTATAGATAATTTATAACACAAGTTTATCTACCATTAATAGTATCTCGCCACGATATACACATTATAAACGCATTCCATATAACCAATAATAAAATCACTATATGACTACTACAGATACGATACAATCACTCACTATAGCATTTAGCACTACAAAAGCTCCAAAACATAAACGCTAAATATAACCACTCTATAACCATTATGTCTACCACATTACCTATATATATATACTATAAAGAGTTCATAGATTTTAATAATTAGTTAATCTATTAACTATTTAAGTGGATAATCATTTAGGTCACTATAGGTCTAATATCTCATCCACCATATAACCACCATAAATACTATATAAATACTATTAGTAGTATATATCCACAATAGTTGATAGTCTACCCATCCACTATTATCTAACCACTACATATCCACATCAGCACACGGCTTGTTTCGCGACGTGTTCCAGGTTGGGCCCGGTGGGCTCGGGCAAGACGCAGCTCCTGCGGCGCCTGGCGCTCGAGGCCATCGTGGCGCATGACGGGGAGGCGGCGGCTGAAAAATTGTGATTTCATGGTGATCTCATGGTGTTTTCAGGACCTTAAGAGATGGTTTCTGGCAAAAACATGTGGTTTCATGGGGATTTTCAGGGTGTTGTCACGACCTTAGAGGGCGAAAAAAATGTGATTTCATGGTGGTTTTATGCTGTTTTAGAGGGTTTCTGGCGAAAAAATGGTGATTTCATGGTGATTTTCATGGTGTTTTTATGGTGATTTCATGGTGATTTCATGGGATATGTCATGGGATGTAACCATATAATGGGTCCCATACAATGGGATAGAATCGGATAGAATGGGACTATAAGAGGGATATACCTGGACAATGGTAGATAAATGGGTGTCATAATGGGATGAAAACAGGTTTTGAATGTGATTAGATTGATCGTTAGATTCTGCTTTTCCATCTGGCCGGCGGCCGGATCGGTTAGATGTGCGTAAATTGCATATGTTCAATTTTGGAATGATTAGATGTGCTTAGATTCCGTTTTTTCATTTTTGGAATTGTGTTTTTCAGTGATTAGACAAATTAGACATGTTTAGATTCACTGGTTCATCTTGGGATAAAATGTTTAATTAATCGGTATTGTGATATTGTGGTAAGATTATTTTTTTAAATCATCTTTGGAATTGTTTTTTTTTCAGTATATAGTTAGACGTGCTTAGATGCCACTTCTTTGAACTTGTTTCTTGAGTGGCTAGCTGTGGTTTGATTCCATTGTTTTTCATGGTTAAATGTGGAGAACGGTGGAGGTTAATCGTTAATCTATTAAACCACCTGAAAATGGAAGGCCGGGTATTGGCACTTAAATAAGACGTGGATTTGTTGACCCATATTTCACCACAATCTTAGAGCATAAATTTCAAATTACAGTAATTAGTGGACTTCTATGGCATTCTTGGCCATCTCCAACCCCATAACCCATATGAAACCAATGAAATCCCCCTTGGGATTTGGCACCGCAGATGGTGCCGCTGCTGGTGACTGCCACGCAGCTGTTTTTGGGCACCTGCAACTGGGTGACAGAAAAGGGTGGATAGATGGCTCCTGGCATCGCTATGGCGCCATCAATGGTGAAAAGTGATGGTAATATAGTGATGGTTAATAGTGGTTAATAGGCTATAAACCAACAACAATGGGAATATGATGATGATGATCTGATTGGTAGTTTGGAACATGGCTTGTATTTTCCCAAATATTGGGAATAAGGTGAACAACTGACTTTCATATTTTTTCAGATGGGTTGAAACCACCAACCCGTCATGCTTCTGATGGTAAACACCCTCTGGGAATTGAACATAGTAACCTTAGTAACATAGAATTTCTGGTCCATGCCATGGATGATTTACCTATTAACAATGTTGATTTTCCACGTTGCTATGGCATCCACCAGAAATCAGCGTGGCTATGCGTGGCTCCAAGGCATCAGCGCTCGAGCCTCCAACGAAGCCTTGTACCAACGACGCTTGATGCGACGCTCTGCGCAGGAGAAGAGGGGCGATATGTTTTTTTGGACATTTTGAAGGTTGATTTGTCGGGTGAAACATCATTGACCTTCATGTTATTATATAGATATAGCATGTAATTCATTATATATATAGAGTGTGTGTGTGTGCATTTGATTTGTGTGCGTTTGTGCCCAAAAAGGAATGTGTTTACAAGTATAAGTATAAACATTCACACAGTTCCACATACATCTGTTATATATATATATATATTACGCATTTTTTATTACATAATATATATATATATATATACTGTATATATAATATATGTGTTATCTATCTTTGCCGTATATGTCATAGGAAGTCCTGCAGTGCACTGCAGCTGCGCCGTTTTCTCGCCAGGACTCGCAGGACCTGGGGACGAATCGCTTCCAATCGGCAGACTTCTTGGTGATTTACATCAGCAACTTGGCCTGGCAGGTGACCACCAGGCAGCCAGGCTGGGTCCAAAACTGTCCAAAATCATGGCATGTTAGTTTTAGTTTGTTTGTTGCATGTTCCACCTAGCTGCTCTTTTTATCGTTGCTTCCGTTTCATGATGGTTGTATATTGTTGTTGGATCACTGGATGAAACATGGAAGGTATAAGAATGATAGGGCGAGAGTTACAGCAACCTCTCACGATCATATGTTAGGATGTGGGTTCGGATAGACCAATCAGCACGGCTCAAGTTCGCTTGAAGCTGCAATGATATGACAATGGATATGCACATATACATACATATACTATATGCACACTGGAACCATCAGTCAGAATCTGGTGCCAATGCGGCCAGTGGTCACTGGGACTTTGAACCCAACAATTCAACATTTCCCCAAGTTCTAGGGGGGGATGTTCACCTATTAATTACTTGAAACTGGCCATATCTCTCGCATTGAGAACTCCTGAAGTTTCCACCTTTGCAGGACAATCCTATATTTAGTTTGATATATATATATAATTATAAAATGTACATAGTATGATGTACAACACAATTTTCCAATGTTCACCACAGCGATGGCTCCGGCTTTCGACCGAGGAATGGCCTTTGGCGCGCAGAGCCCCACCACGCGCTTCCTGCGGCAGGCCTTGCACAGCCGACGTTTGCTGCTGCTGGTCGACGACCTGCACTTGACGCTTTCAGTGAAGCGGTAGCTGCGGATCCGGTAGATATGTCTGTAATAGAAACGGGAACAAGTATATGTCAATATGTTTGTATGTTTTTTTTTTAAATATAATATATATATAGACAATATAATCAAGAATCACAATCTGATAAATCTTATTGTTTGGGGATTATATTAGGGATATGAATAGGGTTTAATTTAAGGGGATGCAGGATCAACAACATAGTTTTCTCATGTTTTCTCCACAATTTGTTAAATAGACATGGAAGCAATTGCCCATTCACTTTGATGATTTATCTATCAAACACGTTTACTTTCCCTTAACTAGATGTAATTATTTATATATATATACTTATATTTCCAGAAAGTGAATATATATATGTGTGTGTGTGTTTAACTGTTTGGCAAGTGTGGAATATGTAGCTATGTGGTTCTCTCGTTTTTGGCTAATGTGCAAATATACCTTCTACATTCCAATGTTTGGCGAACAGAAATTCATAAGACATTGCAAACAAAAACATTGATGTCACTGATATGGTATGTCTATGACATTCTATGACCAAAGTGGTACGTAATGAAGAATTTATTGGACAACGGTCCTGTATCCGTTGGAATTGAAGCAAGAAAGATGCGGTCATATAAATCGATTTTATGATGTTTCTATATAATGCAAAACACTAAGAAAGTGAAGTAAACACAGCACAACCAAAATGGACTCTGACCAACAACAATGGTGATAAAGCCCAGACGAAGGAGGGCATAATCGACACATGGGATTGTATAGGGAGATATAGGCAGCTAACAGTTCCAAGGATCCCTATGAAGATGCAGACACAGCCCCTCGGTCTTTTCATGGGGGGCATCAGGTCTCGGTTGCTGGCGTTTCACCAACAAAGGTCGGGAATTATAGACGTACAGGAGATTGACACACCACACGGAAATAATATATTACACACGTATATATATATATATGATATACATGTACGTATGTAATTAAGCTAGCAGCTATATATGAAAGTGTTTGGTGGTTTGACATTGCTTTTCTCGGAGTTGTATGTGATTCAATCAGCAGAATCAGCATTTCCAGAGGCTCACTGACATTTTGCAACCCAATGAGACCAAATTTCAAGCAACAAAAACGTTAGTGTATGTTTTTTTGCTTTAAGAATTTCAATCAAAAATCACTGAGAGAGAGGGAATCCGAATCCTTCAAAAGCAAGACCCCCACTTTGAATTACTATGAAAGTGGTGTGAATTTTGGTTGATTCCATGTTGATTCCAGTCTGATTGGAGGTGGTGCATGGCAGCCTCCCAGGGCTGATCGTCCGCAGGTTGCTTCAGGGTTTGTATCGTCTCAACGGCATGGGCCTTCGCGTGGTGGTGGCAGGAAGTTTCTAAGCTTCGAAAGGTCCGACGGTGACCCACAAGCATTGTGTGTGTGATGGGTTTGTATAGAAGATGATAGAAGTAAATGGTTTTAAATGGTAATACAGGAAGCCAATGCCACAAATGTAAGTGGTACTACTGTTACTGCTGTAAATGAATAAATACCACTCATCGGTACGAACATGTCGGATAACCATAGTTATGTAGGCATTTGTTGTTCCTCCTGTGTTCCTCCTGTTCTGAGACTTGCCATGAACCAATCCTGAGCTCAGTGAAACTCATCCAGGTCCAGGATGTTCAATAATTCACGCTTGAATGACCCTAACCCACCATGTTTGATCATGGTTTGATAGTCCCTTTTACCGACCATGGGCCATCGACTGGTGCATGATCGTTTTCCCTCGGAAAAACCATGGAAAAACCCAGACTTGTCAGTTTGAAAAGCATATGTAGCATATATATATATAGTTGGTCATGTTCCTATCATGTCCTACCATTTCCTTTGATTATTTAACACAGGGGAAATGGCCCATAGAAATAGATGGTTTACCTATTAATAGCATGGTGATTTTCCTACTGGATTCTTTGGGGAAAATCTCTGGAAACCAGAAAAAAACGCCTGACTGAGGTCCACCTCCGGAGGTCTTCGTCTCCTTCCCAGCTACGGAAGTGGAGCCGGAGGATGTGGAAAAAAACATGAAAAAACTGATTTTTTTTCGAAGATCCACAGATTGGAATGGGATGATCATATCATGAATTCTGATTATATGATTTAATATCCTAAGATTATGAATAATAATTCAGTGATGAATCATTCGTAAATTATCAATTGATGAGATTTGTGATCAGTCATCGTCTTGAAGTGATTGTTAAAGGGTGCAAGCTTTGGATTGATCGAAGAAAAAAAAACAGGAAAACCATGGAGTTTTATCTCAGCAAATGTCTCAGGGAAAGCCCATGGGATTCGGAGTTTTAAGATTCAAAATCAAGACACACAGATAGATACATATCAGACAAAATGGGATTATTAACAGACAGATAGATAAATCCCGGACAAACTCCAAAGTTTGCTATCATGAACAAATGTTTTATTATCAACTTCGGAGTGAAATTATTCTGCTCTGAACTGTAGGAACATGAACGGTGGAGATTCTTTCTGTGTAGATTTTGGATTTTTGTTGGTACCCCCAAATCTTTTGTTGGGGACCTGTCGATGAAATGGGACCCATTCAATCCCATATCACACCGCATTCAACCCCACCAAATATAATTGTTGTTTGTCAATATCCCATTGAAGATCAGCATTGCTGATGATAAATCATATATGTAGATATATTATAATATATTATATCTAAATCTGATTGATTCTTATTAAGTCCGAAAAAATATCCCTATGATGCATGGTTAAGACACGTTAATCCTATTTAATCCTCATTGTCAATAGGATTCAATCAGACGAATTGATAGTCAATAATATTAGCATATATTTTTCGTTATCCCTATTTTTGATGGCTAAATCCCCAGTATCATGATTTTTCCTGATTAATGGTTAGTCCTCGTGTTAGGCTTGTCCTGTTTGATGTTTTTTTTTTGTCTTTTTAAACCAACACACCATGAATGATGGGGATTAACATGCCTTAAATATCACTAACATTTGATTTACTATGAAAATCCCTAATAAGGATTAAGATATTTATGGTTAATCTATGTGTTAATCTTCATGGCGTTTGGCACACCATGAGGGTTGATTGTCCTGGTTCCCCAATTGTCCCCCCTGAGCCTTGAATAAGTTCGGATTCAGAGGAGGAAGATGCGCCGGGGGAACTTCAGCTGAAAACGCCGTCGCTGGGGTGGAACATCTGGGGCTCCGGGATGGGGCATGCCATTCCAAAGAATGGAAGTTGGACCACTGGAAATGTTGAACATATCCAGCAAAACACGTGGGTTAAGCCACGACTTGCCAGCTCTAAGCCTTGGTTTTTCCAATCCAAACCGGTATGATACGGTATGGTGATTCCAAGAGACCGATATTTGTCTGAGGATTAAAGCCACCAATCCGAGATAGTTGGTTGGGAATCAACTTCCCATGCAGCAATGGAAAAGGACATATCTTTGAAGCCACCAGACTGTTTGAGTGTGCAATAGTTGAGGTGTAAAGTTATAATAGGTGTAATCTTGGGCACATCGTTGCTGGCCACTGAAGAAAGATGCCGTCTCCGTGCTTTCAGTCTTGCAATGGCGTAGAATTGCACTCACATGTGTAAACCATTCTGGTGAATTTATTCTTGATTTGGAGAGAAACATGTCATGATATGCCCAGTTGCAGCATTTGGATGAAAGTACCAAAGATGATTCGTGATGATATCCCATTACCAAAAATAGTCTCAATACATCTCAATACTATATCAGCGGTCCCAACCAAAGTTGTCAATTGTCATATAGTTTAACTTCAGCCGACATTCTTGAAGATATTGATATTGAATATTGAAAAAATTGGTTAAAACTCTCATTGCAATGATAATAGCTGATCGTGATTCATATTACTCTTCAATCGTCAATGGTTGACATTCCTATCAACATCTTTTCCTATTGCCATTCCACGGAATAAGCAGGAATGTCCAAGCTTTCCTGTACGACTGTGCATATATATATATATTATATTATATATATAATTATGACTCTCGATTAATTTAATATTCTTGCAGCTGAGAATGTTTTTTACTGAAGAGTTGGGATATTCCTATCAAAATCCGAGCTGCAAGCTGCGTAGTTTCTCAAGGCTTCGGAAGACAATGGCGGGCCTTGATCTCCTGGATGGAGGTGGGTTGTTGTTGTTTGTTTAATCATCAACAAATACTGGATATACGAGTGATTCCATGAGCTTTAATGGGATTTAATGGGACTCAACACGATATATAATGAAATGAGAAATATGATACTTGGTGTGTCTAAAAATTGCCTACTATACCCTGCAAATGGCAATTTTCTGAAAAAGATAATCAATTAGTGGATGGAATGGGGTACCCTACTTTCAGACAAACCCATGGTATTTTTTGGGGTACAAGGATGGGCCTGTACTGAACAGTGTTGCTGAGGTTTTAGTTGCCAAGATTTGCCAAGCATCTCTAGTGCTTCAGCAAAAATGCAATGGTGCGACTGGCAGAAAGCTTCGCAAAACCACAGCCAAGGGCATACCACCACGGTTGCACGCGAATACTTCCGAATAATTGCTTCTTGATTTTGATTTTGATGACTGACATTATATATTTCGTCATTTCGTTGTGCTGGTTCCTGGTCATATTTCGGGTTCGGGGACGCCGTCCATTAAGCAGCTTAAACCAGTCATGGTTATCACAACCAAACTCCTTTTTGAGCTGAGGTACATGGTGATATTCCGGTGTCATATTGAGCCGGAAAAAGGTCGCGCAGATAGGAACCCCCAACAACTTGGACCGTAAGTGATGGTTTCCTGAAATTTCCTGAATTCAGTTCCAACCAGTTCTCCTGTCCAGAGTGCAACAGAAATCAACAACCCATCATTGACCCATCATTCCCAAAAGTGCTGAAAATGTGCAATTCTACAGGAAATATGTCACAGATTGTGACAAATCGATTGTTTCCTCCAGATGCTCATCAGGTGATGCGCCCAAGAAGGAGCACCATCGAAAGACCTTGGCATCTTCTGACAGTTCCAATGAGGCGCCGGTTCTGGTGGTGTATTAGATACCGCCAGATATGGCGTTGATATTTGGATGCTGGTTAGTAAAGAAACATATCCCAAAATTGCCGAACTGTTCAAGCTTTGTTGTTTTTTTTGGTATGTTGTTTTACCCCGATGGTGTTGTTCTAATCCGGCCCGGTCGGCTCCTAAAAAAAAGGGTTGTTCACCGGTGCCCAGAGCTGAGATTTTGGGACCACCTTGGCCCCTGATTTTGAGCTCATGATCAACCCTTGGTGGCTTCAGCTCACTCTTTTGCTACGGAATCGGCTGGGTGAACCAGTTGGTCAAATGTCCTTGCTGACGCCACAAGTCCAACGAAAATTCATTTGATCGAGGCTGTGCCAAACTCGATACGATCTCAAAGCAGAAAACAGGTGGAACTGTTGCAGCTGCCCAGGTAGAGAAGGACATCTTTAAGACAAAAAAAACGAAGACGCTGCCGGTCCGAGAGGAGATCGGGAAGCCAGCTGGAAAGGATCAGAATGGCTGAGATCTTGAAAAGTTTGCATGTCTTTACATGTCTTGGTAGATAATAGATGATAATAGCACATAGATCTTGAACAATTCAAAAGCTTTGGCCCAAGATATGTAATATTGTTTGTTCTCACAAACCGTCCCTGGGGGCAATGGTTTCTGCAGGCTGCAACCACATGGTGCTTCTCCGGAGTGATGGCAACGCTGTGGCTTGCGGAGATAATGTGCATGGACAATGTGATATTCCGCGCTTAGATGAGGGAATGTCCTACACCCAGGTTTCTGCAGGCGACTGTCACACAGTGCTTCTCCGAAGTGATGGCCATGCTGTGGTTTGCGGAGGCAACCTGGACGGGCAATGTGCAATTCCACTTTTAGATTCAGGAGCGTCATACACACAGGTGTTTGCTGGCTTCGAACATACAGTGCTTCTCCGAAGTGATGGAAGTGCTGTGGCTTGCGGGGATGATGAAGAGGGACAATGCCAAATTCCACCTTTGGATGAAGGCACGTCCTACACCCAGGTTTCTGCAGGCACGACCCATACGGTGCTTCTCCGCAGTGATGGCAATGCTGTCGCATGCGGTAATAATGAGGATGGACAATGCGACATTCCACCGCTGGATGCCGGAATGTCATACACCCAGGTCTCTGCAGGCGGGGATCATACAGTCCTTCTCCGAAGCGATGGTTCGGCCATTGCTTGTGGGAATAATTTGTTTGGACAAGTCGACATTCCACAGCTGGAGCAGGGAATATGCTACACGCAGGTTTCTGCTGGCATGACGCATACAGTGCTTCTCCGAAGTGATGGTTGTGCTGTGGCGTGCGGAAACAATATCCCTGGACAATGCGACATTCCACCTCTCAATGAAGGAGTTGTCTACACACAGGTTTCTGCAGGTGGGGTGTTCACTGTGTTTCTCCAAAGTAATGGTGTCGCTGTTGCCTCTGGTTTCAATGAGGACATTCCCTCCACAGAGGCTGGTACTTGCTATGTTGGTGATATGCCACTTGCCCGGGACTTTGTTGTCCAACTGGATTTTGTTCATCAAGATGGTGCCATCAAGCTGACATGCTCAAGTCCGATGACTGGAGAAGAATTTCTACACCTGAATGTAGGGCTGTCTGATTTGGCCTGGGACACTCACAAGCTCCTTGCGCGTGAGTTGAATGTCAATCTCCAGACTCTCAAGGTGGTCTTGCCTGACGGACAGCTGCTTGCCTCAACCTGCCATGCAACTCCCAAAGCCACCATGGCCAATGTCGCTGATGGGGCAAAAAAAGATAACCGTTTTGGAGGGAGATTTGGTCGTACATTCATGCTGCCCATCTTGTACACATGCTAGGCTACATTGTTCATTACAGGAAAGATGAGACTTGGGGCATAATTGGCATAATTGCATATGTACGATATTTAGATATCATTAAATTTTAATAAAGTATGGTTTGGCACACATCCTGATGGTCCAAATGATGAGCCGTCTACTTTAAGTGTGTGGTAAATTGTTGTATTCATCGAGGCATTATGTTTTGGGGGGTTTGACACCCAACAACCTCCGGCTTCAAGCCGCATTTAATTGTGTGACTTGTTGGGTGGTTTCATTTTAGTACATATATAATTATTTTATACTTTGTATATATATATATATTTAGATATGTGTATATAACATAGGTATATAAACATTTTGCTATATCTATATATATATAGATATGCATATACATGCGCGTATATCTATTTGCACATATGCACATACACATACACATATATTATGTGTGTGTGCACATGTTATATGGTCAGCCCCTAGTGGTTAAAAGTGATTTGTTTCAAACTGTTGGAGCAGTGTGGTGCACTGCCTGAATTTTGACGTGTGACCTGCGTCACCTCTTCGGTGTCATTGGAATACAGGAGTAATAATCACCCGACAGAAAAGGGTAGTGCACCATGGTGTACCAATTTTACCATTTGATTTTATCGCCATTTTATGCGGGTAATCCCCCAAGACAATAGCTAGAGTTTATTGTGTTTTTTTGGGGTTTGACTCGACATCAAGTGAGTGCAACCGTTGGCAGGAGCAGGATTTCTGGTGGCTGCCGCAAGAGGAGCGGGCATGAATTTGGAATGAATCTTAGACTTGTTCATATATATATATTATATATATATACACACATGTTAATATTAAGCAAGACTGTAGGAGTCAGAAGCTTATTGCGATTTATGTCCCTAGTGATAGTTGATAGTGAAACTAATGTCAAAGAACCCTCACTAGGACGGACAAGAACACTTACGCATGGAGTGATTCATAAAGCAGGGGACTCTAAAGTCAGCCAAGAATATTCCATATATTTTAATACAGTGATGAAGAGTGACTTGAACGGGAAAACCCTTACACTCTTGGGTCCCTCATTATACAAAAAACTCTCACCTATTTCATTCGACTGATTGGTTTAAGGCAAAATCTACAAAATTCCCATGGTTTTTCCCATGATATATGGGGGTTTATGGGGGGAAATTTCTTAACATCAGGAATTTCAATGATCCCGCCTTAATCCATCGCCAGAACGTCATCCATTGAATCGCCAGACCCCGACGCCGCGGCAGCCGCCGCGGCGCCTGTGGCTGTGCCCTCCGCGCCCCAGCGAGCGACTCAGTCGGGCGAAGCTGCGACTGGGAGCCATCAGCAATTCGCCTGAGGAGGTGATCGAAGAAGCACAGGCCCTCAAAAACCATGGGGAATTTTGGGGAAATCCCGGGAATGCTGAGAGAAATATCTATCGTAATATGTATATATGAACCTACTGTGTATATATATATATATATATGATCTCGTATAAGATAGTTCTTTGAACAGTTTGTGGGAAAGGGGGGAGCCTGAAGCCGCCTTGCTGCTCATGAAGGCTCAAGCTTTAGGTGATGAGCTGCGCGAAGTGTCACCAGGCAGCTCCGGAACCTGGTGACACCTGGTGCACGGCGTGCTGTGCCTGGGAGAGCCTGGGGTCGGAGCTGTGCTCTCCCTGGCACTCCCGAGCCCTGAGGCACGTGGCCACTGAACAGGTGGAAACCCTGGTTCGTTCCGTGCGGGCGCTGAGGAACCTCTCGAGCAGCCTGAAAAGCGCCGAGACTTCTCGAGCCGCTGAGAAGGAACGCAGTGGGGCCTCAAGGTCTCAGGCGGCACGCCCGGTGCTACCACCGCCGCCTCCCCCGCCGGTGAAAGACACCGTCAAGGAGCAGCCTGAGTCAAGCAGTGGCTCAGAGAGCCCAAGTGCTGAGGAGGGAGGCAACGAAGCCGCTGCCACTGCAGCCAAGAGCAAAGCCAAGAAGCCCAGTCGGGAGCGTGAGGAGCCCGAGAGGGAGGAGGCCACCAAATCCCCAGTCAGACCTGTCAGCCCAGACAGGCCACCCAGGACTGAAGAGGAAAGGAACAGAGAGGAAAGACCTGCCGAGGATCGGGACAGGCGAGAAGGTGAGAAGAAGGCCAAGAAAAAGAAGAAGGATCGTGACAGGACTCGCCGGGGCAACAGAGCCGGCAGAAACCACCAAAGACTATACAGGGCTTTGGAAAACCCAGATCAGCCGTTGCATCGGAAGCGACCGGCCAGTTACTGGGACAACCAGCACTCGCAGGGCCACAGGGCCCACGACGTGCACGACCGGAGATGAGGAAACACAGCTATCCGGAAGGTGCAGAGTTTTCCCACGCCGATTTTGCATCCTGGGAACAGCTCACAATTTTGAAAGGACAGGTGGTAGAGGTCGAATTGACCGATTCCGCAGGAGACTTCCCGGCCGATTTGTGGGCTGGCTTCTTGGTCACAAAGGTGGAGTTGGGTCTGGAAGGCGACATGATTTTGCATGTGAAGAGCCTTGGATGCGACGACGTCGAGGCTACGAAGTGGCTTTCAACAAACTTCAACAGGCGTCCAGGTTGTCTTCATTTATGCCACAGCTACCCATGCGAGGTGGACGGAGACTTCACCCTGCATGTGACCCGGCTCAGAGTGTTTTCCATGGAAGGTTTCGCAAGAGACTACATCACTGCGGGTATGAAAAAGCAGATGAAAAAGTGGTCCGACTCAATGGAGGACGAGCTTGGGGCACCGTCTCATGGCCTCGACATCACCGTCCCAGGCCGAGAAGATTCAGGTTGGGAAGAGGTGGAACCTATGAGGGCTTCGGCAAAGGCTCAACCACCTCATCCTCAAGACCTGGACGAAGAGCGGATATCTGCTCAGAAGAGACAGGAGCTGAGAAAAAGGCTGGACGATGCCAAGGCCAAGATGAGCCAAGGGCCTGGTGCAGGCGCCGGCACCGATGCCGTGCCGCCCCAAGGGCCATCCAAGGAGCCTGCTTCGCCACTGTACTCACCCTCACCTCTGGAAGAGGAGGAGGCCCTTGTGGATCGGAGGAAAGGCGCGCTGAGGGATGCCCCTCGTCGCAGCGCCCACGAGGGATTGACAGAAGAGGAGTTGATGACTGGAGGAGAGAAAGAAAAAGGAAAGAAAGAGAAGAAACGGAAGAGGAGCCGCGACAGAGGAAAAGCCGGGGTTCTGGCTATAAAAGACATTTCTACAGGCAGCTTGCAGGCTCAGCTTCTGAGTCAAGCAGCGAAAGCTGCCCAGGAAAAGGCTGGGATGATCCAAGGAGAAAAAGAGAAAGCCAAGAAGAAGGACCCGGGTGCGCTCTTGGTGCGCCTTCTACAACAGGCCACTGGAGGAGACAAGAAGAAGAAAAAGAAAAAGAAGAAAAGGAAGAGGGCCCATTCTTCGGGTCTTCCCCAGGGCAGTCGCGACAGCCAGAAGAGGAGGAGGCAGAGAGATGGGTCTGGCGATCCGGGGTCCAGCCCAAGCTCATCGAGTGGCAGTGGCCAGACGAGTGGCTCGGAGCTGAACTCAGAAGATGCCTTGGGGGAGAGTTCCAGCAGTTCAGAAGACCTGCGCATGGAACCTCCTCTCCGCAAGAGAGCGCGGGAGAAACCGGGGAGCGTCCTGCAGCTCTTAGTGGAGCATGCACGGGCCCAATTGGACCAGAGCGCAAAGGTGACAGTTGGCCGAGAGGAGGACAAGAATTACATGACCGGGGTCAAGCTGAGCTCCTATTTCTCCATCATCATCCGCCCCAGGTCGGGACGGTCAACGCACAGATGAGGGAAATGCATCTGCTCAGTGCTTGCATGGATGCCTTGAGAGAGGGGGCGCTGGACCATGTGGGAGATCTCCTAGCAGCCCGGTTTATAAGCCTCCATCAGTCCATTTTGGACGGCAACTGGGTGGCGGCCAGGCAATTGGAGCTATTGCCGCTGGAGGAGACGTCAGCAGCGGGGCCCCAGCTGGTGTTACAGGCGCGGAAACAAGCAAAGCTCGCAGCCAAAGTAACCCAGCCAGAGCTATGGGCAACTCCAGGCGCCGGCAAGGGCCGTGGCAGCCGGGGCAAAGGTACAGGATGGCCAGACTGGCAACAGGACCCAAAAGGGAAGTCCAAGAAAGGAGGAAGAGGAAAAGGCAAAGGCAGAGGCTGGTGGGGTCAGGGCGGAGAAAGTCACGAGCCCGATCCCAGCAAAAAGAAGGAGAAAGCCCCGGAGAAGTAAATCAGCAATATGGTGCTGAGGCTGATGAGGCGCTTGGCGCTGAGGGCCTAGGGGCTCCGCCAGTTTTTGTTGGCGCTGGTATCAAGGATCTCAAATCCGCTATACCGTGCTGCACAACCTATCGAAGCATGGGATGTGTGCTTGCTTGGTGTTTGATTCACAGTGCTGATGCTGGTGATTTGATTTTCCGAATCCCGCAGTGGATGAAAGCATGGAGAGGCTTCACAGCCGCTGCAAACCTGAGCGCTGCCCGCGGGCGGAACTCAGTTTTTCCATTTAGAGAGGGAGACCTTTCGACCTTTACTGCACAATTCAACAAATTCAGCTTGGAGGAAGTCGTCTCGCCCGAAGTGGTGGAGACTTGGAGCAGCTGTGCCTGGCTGTACAACACAATATCAGCCTTGAACAAGTTGGCTGGTTACAAGGGAAGCCCTTACATTGGGCGCTGGACATCGTCCGAGCGCACGGCTGCCCAGAGCATGAGGAGAGCAATCGAGCGTCGCTGCGCAAGAGACGTGGTGAACATGACCTTGACCGAGGCCGCGTGGCAAAAAGAGCTGAGTGGTAAGCAGATTGGCTACAATGGGGAAGAAGTTTCGGTTTGCCAACAACTTTCATGGGAGCAGGTTATCCCCAGTTTGCCTCCGGAAGAACATGGTGGGTCGATTGAAACTCTTCACTGGGTTAGTCCTAGGACACGTGAGTTTCTTCTCAACCCTTCACTACTCCTCAAAGAACATTCTGAAGTTCAACTACCTAACCTCCCGGGGAAAATCCATGTCAAAGCAGAGGACAAGATGTCCATTGCACATGAACTTGTTCGTCGAAACATATGTACTTGTGTCCCCCTGGATGCGGTTTACCAAGTGGGCTCTCAGAAGGTGCTGAATGGTCTTTTCGGGGTCAAGAAGCCGACATGTTTGAGTTCGGGCGCTCCTATCCTTCGCCTTATCATGAACTTAACGGGAAGTAATTCAACCCAACATCAACTTGAAGGGGGCGCCTCTAACCTTCCCTCTGTCACCTCATGGCAGAGCTTGGTGATCGAACAGGGTCAGAGCCTGGAGATGTTCCAAAGCGACATGTCCTCAGCCTTTTACCTGTTCAAAGTCCCGCCGTGTTGGCATCGACACCTGGCGTTCAATGTTGTGACCTCGGAAGAGGAACTCATGGGGAAGGGGCGCCGGCTCTTTGCCTTGTGCTGCTCCGTGTTACCCATGGGTTGGCTTAACAGCGTTTCCATCATGCAGGAGGTGTCGGAAAACATCCTGAAGCATGGCCAGTTGAACCCCTACAACCAGGTGTCACGCAGCAATCCGCTGCCCAAGTGGTTCACAGAGATACTGGCTGAGGCGACAGAGGCTGATCGAAGCTGGTGGCATGTGTATCTTGACAACTTCTGCGCTTGCGAACGTGTTGAATCTCACACGGCAGCCGTGGCTGGAGCGCTGTGTCATGAGGCGGCTGAGGCCGCTTGGCAGGCCGCTGGTGTTGTGTCCTCAGAGAAGAAACGTGTCTCGGCTGCCAGCTACATAAATGAGCTTGGCGCTGAAGTTGATGGGGACTCTGGAGCTTTGGGAGTCTCCACGCAAAAGCTGCTCAAACTGGCCCTTGCCACGTTGTGGATGCTGGCAGGGTCCGACCTTGGCAAGAAGCAAGCCCAGGTCATTGCGGGGCGCTGGATCTTTGTGCTCCAATTCAGGAGACCTGCCATGGGATTTCTTCAAGAAGCTTGGAAGGTGACCAGTGGAGCACACCTTGCGAAGCGCGATATCAAGGAGAAAGCAAAAGGTGAGTTCTTAGCACTGATCCTGGCTTCCCCTCTTCTTCACTGCAACATGGGTGCAACAGTGGCCAAACAAATTGTTTGCACCGATGCTTCAGAAAAAGCTGGAGCTGTAGGGTATGCACAGGCCTTGACCGAAGAAGGGGATGACTTCATCCGAGCTCAGTCAAAATTGCAAGGGCCTGGGGATGGTCAGCCGATCCCGGTCTTGATTGTATCCCTCTTCAACGGGATAGGGGGATCCTTTCGTGCATACGACGTGCTGTCGCTGGTTCCGGCCGGGCGGATAGCAGTTGAGATTGATGAGGGAGCCAATAGGATCTGTGCCAGGAGGTGGCCAGGGACAATCTTTGTCAAGGATGTGAAGAAGGTGGACAGGGAGACCGTGAGATCTTGGAGCAGGCGCTTCTTGGACATAGAGGAGGTGCACATATGGGCTGGCTTCCCATGCGCTGACCTGTCAAGTGCCAAGTATGGGCGACAGAATCTCCTAGGTCCTTGCTCTTCGCTCTTCTATGAAGGACCGCGAGTTGAGCAGCTGGTCAAGGAGGAATTCGGGAGCGCTGTCAAGGTGAAGCATGTCTATGAGAACGTTGCTTCAATGGATCGAGAGGCCTGTGCGCAGATTTCGGCGGAGTTGGAAGAGAAGCCCTATTTCTTGAACCCTGAACAAGCGGTGCCAATGAAGCGTCCGCGACTGGCTTGGTCTACAGAAAAAGTGGAGGGGTGTTTGCCAGGGGTCGAAGTTACTCCCAAACAACACTGGAATGAGGTGGAAGCCTGGGCCCCTTATCCAAGCACAGCCCAATGGATCAGACCTGGTTTTCATTGGGAGGGAGAAAGCTTTGGTAAGACCTTCCCGACGTGCATGAAAAGCATACCTAGGAAACAGCCCCCTCCTAAACCAGCGGGAATCCAGAAGTGCAGCTTTGAATGTTTGGAAAGGTGGGCCGAGGACTCTTTCAGGTACCCTCCATACCAATATTCTTGGGAATTCCTCCTTACTGATGACAAGTCATGGCGCCTTTTGGATCCTGAAGAGAAAGAGCTCCTTTTGGGCTATGGGTATAATCATACCATCCTGGCTTGGTCGACTTCCCAAGCGAAACGTGACCCCCAAGGGTTCAAGGATGCCAGGCATTCCTATTTAGGAGATTCTTTTTCAGTTTATTCCTTTGTGATCATGGCTGCGGCATGCTGCAGAAGGTGGATTCCTTGGGCCCCATATCAACACTGGGCTTCACGAATGGGGGTTGCCCCGGGGTTCAGAATGCATGTGCGTTCTCAGGCACCACTGAGTCGAAAACTTAACTATGGGTCACCTCCAAAACCCGGTCAACAAATGAACTCCGTGGAATCCATCAACAAACTGTTGTTACGTCGAACCAACCACACTGGCTCAGATGTACGCATGGTCACAGGTGAGATACTTGCCCCAAAGAACTTCCCCCGTCAATCTGTGGCTTCAGCATGGTGGAGTTGGCAACATGGGTATGCACAGCGCTGGAAGCACCGCAGTCATATCAATGTTTTAGAGCTTGAAACCATCCTTTGGGGCCTGAAGTTTCAGATTCAACGGTTCAAGGTGGTTGATTGCAGGGTCATGCAGCTGTCGGACTCCTATGTTTCAATTAGTGTTGTAAGTAAGGGACGCAGCAGCAGTCTTCAACTACAGCGAATCAACAGGGTCCTTTCAGCCTATTTATTGGCCTTCGGTTTGCAGCTTATCATGGCTCACGTGGAATCGGGAGACAACCCGACTGACGAAAAATCCCGCCAATAATGGTGGTTCACATTCTCGCTGGGAGACTCTCCCGTGCTGAGAGGGCCAGGCGGAGAGCTCGGATAGTGCTGGATGATGCTGCGCTGAGTGACAAAACCCAGCGGCGCTACTATCTAGCCCTCCGTAAGCTGTTGCCTTACATGGAAGCCTGCCGTGACAAATCCGAGCTTGATAGCTGGATGTGCCGGTGGGTTCGAAAAATGTGGCGAAGTGGAGAGCCACTCCTTACGGTGGGCGATGGGCTGTCAGCCTTGCACTTTCATCAGCCTTGGACAAGGCGGACAATCCCACATGCTTGGAAGCTTTTTAATGTATGGCGCCGGATTGAAATCCCGAGCCGTGCTCCACCTCTTACTTTGAGGTTGGTGCGAAGCCTGGCAGCCTATGAACTCAACTGTGGCAATTTGGAAATGTGCTGCATCCTGTTGCTATCATTTCACTGTTTGTTGCGAACGGGAGAAGCGCTTCACCTGACTACAGGGGATTTTGTGCTAGGATCTTTGCATGGACTGGTGTCTCTTAAAGACACCAAGAGCGGAAAGCGCAATAAGGCTAACGAAGTGGTTAGCATCACTGATCCCTTAGCGCTGGACTGCACCCGTGCGCTTTTGGAGGTTCGCCGCAATTCCAACCTACAAGCGTTGCCCCTATGGTCATCGTCAGGCACCAGGTTTCGACAACGCTTCAAGACTCTTTGTCAGCTTTTTGACCTTGATCCCTTTGGGTTTAGACCCTATTCACTCAGGCGTGGAGGAGCAACCCATGTTTTTCAAACAACCCAGAGCATGGAAGCTGCCTTACTCAGAGGACGCTGGGAATCATCGAAAGTGGCCCGTATTTATATAAGTGATGGCCTTTCCTTCCTACCTTCTTTGAGGATGTCATCCAAAACCCTGGCAATGATGGAAAAGCACTTCTTCATTGACAAGCAGATGGGTTGACCATCCGCGCAACTTTTAGTTGGGGTGCGTGGATAACAACCTCCGAGCTGAAAATTTTTTCGTGCTTGGAGCCTCGTCCATGAGGCTTGTTTTGCTTGAAAGCCTCGTCCAAGAGGCAGGTGACTTGGATACTTCCGTCCATGGAAGTTTTGGGAATGAAAAAGGGTTTAATTTCCCCGTCCATGGGGTATCTTTCATCTCTTGAGAGACATGGAGTCTCTCTTTTCAGGTGAGACAAAACGTCTCATTATCAAAGCCTACTTGCAGGCGGCTGTGAAAAAGCGAGGCGCTTGACCACAAGATAGTTCTTTGAACAGTTTGTGGGAAAGGGGGGAGCCTGAAGCCGCCTTGCTGCTCATGAAGGCTCAAGCTTTCCCTCCCTCAACCACCCACAATTTTGGGATAACAACCTCCGAGCTGAAAATTTTTTCGTGCTTGGAGCCTCGTCCATGAGGCTTGTTTTGCTTGAAAGCCTCGTCCAAGAGGCAGGTGACTTGGATACTTCCGTCCATGGAAGTTTTGGGAATGAAAAAGGGTTTAATTTCCCCGTCCATGGGGTATCTTTCATCTCTTGAGAGACATGGAGTCTCTCTTTTCAGGTGAGACAAAACGTCTCATTATCAAAGCCTACTTGCAGGCGGCTGTGAAAAAGCGAGGCGCTTGACCACAATAGTTAATGTGGGCACCCTCATTTATCGATGTAGCTATCCATGTGTCTATCTATTTGTTTATCTATCCATGTATTTGTCGATGTATTGATGGGAACACGTATGGTTCAATGGCAACAACTGGGAATTCACAGGTTGTGGCAGGGATGTAGAGCAACAAGCATCAAAGCCAGGTGCTTGTCACATCTATACAACCGCCAGTACACCCTGTGATGCCTTGTGTAAGCCTGTATGCCTTTGCTAACTGGATCAGTTTGGCAAAGGTACCCTTTGGTAATTTAACATATAGCTACGGTAAATTGCCAATTTATTGACGATTTAGCTATTCAACTGGTGATTCTCCATACGTCAAATTACCGGAGGTATGTGTATACCATGGTCTACCATACCAACCAGCTGAGATCACAGATATCCCCATGATTGGTAGTGGTTTCTGAGACGGTTCTCTCAAGAAACAGGCCACAAGTTAAAACAGTCTCACGCTGGCATGATCCCAATCCCAGTTGATGACTTAATGATGGGTATATAGTTTTCATTCAAAATAGTGAGATGATCGTTTCAGTTAATCATCAAATTCTCATTTCAATATTTCAGTGGCAAAAAAAGTGGCCTATGTTCCATTGATATCCATGGATATCCCATCTTTTTTTCATGACAACCCCATGGATACCACGTCCCACGTCGACATACGTCGACCCGATGCTGCCAGGACTCCAAGCTCTTCGAGAGTTTTCTTTCGGTGCCTGATGTGGATCATTTATTTCAACATCAAAGGGTGTGATGATGAAAAACATGTGGACTTTTTTTTTGGTGTCCTGATTCACGATGATTCACATCACATTTTTGGGGGTCCAGATTCACAATGATTCGCATCATAGATTTGTTTGGTCCAGATTCACATCATCGTGACCTGAAATGGGTTGCGAAATAGGTGGCTCAGATTTGTCAGATGTTCGATGGGAGACTTAGTTGGTTCCTTAGCCAAAGTTGGGGGGGCATCCCCAGAAAGTGGATGGCCCTACCTAAAGCCGCTTGCCATTTTCACGTGTGATTTTTCTTGCGGCTGGACAAGTTTGACAGATGACTCACCTTTCACCCAACCCTTGTTGATGTAGCCATATGCTAGAGAGATTGCTAGAGAGGCTTGGATGCAACCAATATATATATATATACAAAACAATTTGGTAACCTAACCTTAAAAGAACGCCCATATTTCAGATCGCTTCAGCATGGCTTTCCACATTGGTTCGGTCACAGCACCGGGATCCATGGGATGTCGCCAGGTTCAATCCGCGCCTTTCCTGGAACTCCTGCTGTCATACACTGCAGCTATGCTGCAGGGGGACGGTGACCATGGCTATTCCGACTAGTTATATGAGGCATTCAGCAAAATGGAGGATCCACAAATGGCTCGTTGCGTGTCATTGCTAGTATTCAACCATCGACATTTTAGTGTCAATCCACAACCTGGCTACAATTGGTAAGAGTGCAGCCATGGCAAGGAATCAAAGTATGGCAGGCATATGGACTGGCCAACAGAAAGCTCCAAGCACTTGGAATCTTCATTATAGTTCATGTTTTGAAGAGAGAGAGAGAGAGGAAGATACTATAATGTTCAGTCAATTTATGTCAATTTCAATCGCTCATTTTGGATCATGAAAGGTCCCAAAGTTTGGCAGCCCTGCAAATTTGCTCGTTAAATTGCCATGAAAACAACGAGTCGATCTCGCCCAGGAAATGTCGATTTTGCACCCGGAGGCCGAGGTCCTGGCTCCGGGCACGCCGCTGCGTTCCTCGCTCCGCAGCTCGTTAGGGCGCTCCAGCCACCGGGATAGTGCCCCAGGGGGGTGGAGCTGGGGGAGGATGAAAGAAAGCCTAAAGAATGGGATACATCTATCAAGTGGTGCAGGATTTCGCAACCATCCAGGCTTGGAAGTTTGGAATTACCTGGAAATTTGAACATTTCAAGAAAGTTGGGGATGTAAAGCTGCTGATTTCAAGAACCATTTGAGGATTTGAGCAGGTCAAGGACTGATTTGTAAGTGATGAAGAGATTTGACAGAGGCTTTAAGAATGGAAAAGTATCGTTGAAGCCCGGGTGGAAGCAACACGTCATGGGGAATCAAACAACAAATCGGGGGATACCGGGTTGCCCTTTTAGTAATCTGGCAATTGGAAATTCCAATGGTTCTGTATAGGAAACTCATGTTTTCCAACAATTTGGCTTTCCGATTGGTCAGGATCTTTAAATTCTGCAGTTGGAATCTCCATTTCAATGGACAGGTTGGACAACTTACAGGAAAGCCCCCTGATCTTAATGGGAAAATCCATGGAAAATCTATGATTTCCGGTCAACAATGTCCATTGATCATTGTCAGGACAACTCCCAGGTTGACCCCCGTCACAGATCCGTCTTGTCGCCAGGTATCATGTCCACGGCACGGGTGTCGTTGCCATTTCTGGTGCAGGCCAAGAAGGAGGCCATGGAGGATGCAGTTCCAGTTGGAAAGTGGCCATTGTGTGGCTTTGTTTGGTTGAAATGAGTGTATGGCTATGGTTAGACTTATCTTGGGTATCGTGGCAATAATTATTCACCCCCGAAGTGGGTTTTTTCGAAGTCTACAAAACCGATTAAACATTTCTGAATACAAAACAGTGGAAGACTTTGGAACCGGCCGCGATCCAGTTCATCAGTTTAGAACCGGGAGATCCTCCATTTTTCTGTTGCGGTGCCATGTTTGCAAAAGTTGCTGCATGAGAATCTCAGCTGTTTGCGGTGCCTCCATTTAAGCAATTTTGCAGGGAAACCATTAAGAAGAACCATAACAAGCCTAGATTCCTAGAGATATGCTTGATGATTTGGATATGATTTGGTAACAATAAATAACCAATAAGATCTAACAATCTCCAACTGGTTGGTGGTTTGGAACATGGCTTTTATTGTTCCATATTTTGGGAATGTCATCATCCAAACTGACGAAGTCATATTTTTCAGAGGGGTAGGTCAACCACCAATCAGCTTCGTCGATGGCCACGGTAGGTGCAGCCGGTTCTGGGGCCCATTCTACGTGGCGCCAGTGGCGTTTTGGACGAGTTGTTTCTTGGCGACTTCGAAATAGTCACTGGTTGCGGCTATCAAGAGATCATGTGTAATATATATTTATATAATATGATATAATATATGATTATATATGTATGTGTATGTTATAGAGATACTCCATTGACTCACAGCATCTATATCATTCTAACTTTCTTAGCTTCGTTTCTGGTCAAATATATATATATCTATTTTGGATGGGCAGATCTCCTTGGTGAATGTCTCAGGTTCACAGCCAGCTGCATGCAAACAGTGAAATCCATAGAGGAGGCCTGGAAGATATCGGAATATCATCTGTACCATCCTGGAAATATGTTTTTTTTTTTGTAATATGGTGCTATTTGGTGATTTGGGCAGATTCTCTCTGAAAGTTTGGTTTGGTTTGGTGTAGTTTCGGAATGTTTTGGTACTTCGTTGTGTTTCTTATATTTATGTAGCAGGCGCAAGATTTTTGAAGAGAAGAAACGGTTGCGAACAGCATCAATTTCTGCTCATAGCATTTCATAGCGAGGTCCGGCTGATCGCTGCAAGCCTTGTATGTTGGTGTGATAGGTCAATACTAGATGCCATCAACATGCCGGAAAATTTACACTGCCCTGTGATTTTAATATTGTCAAAACATTAAAATTTGGATAATAATGCGGAATATCATATATGTACATAATATTGTTGAACTCTCTGAGATGGCGATAGAGAGAGAGAGAGAGAAAATAAAATATTATATATATATATATTTATAAATAAAGATAATCCTCTACTATCCTTCACTGTTTGATTTAAATCTCCGGCTGATTTGTTGTTTTGCCAGATGAAGATGGAAAGAGGCGGCCGCAAGGCGCCAGAACTTGAGGGAGGCGCCGATGGCTTGGGGAGGGGACCTCCTGAGTTCCGGCGAGTGCGATGAAGAGGAAGAAATATTTTTTTTTAACATTTATGATGCTAATATAATCTAACATATATTAAATTTCTGTATTATATAGACATATACATATTATATATACATTAAATGTGATGTATAGACATGATTTAACAGTTTAATTATCTCAACATAGTGGAAAGTCACAAAGTACTGTAAGCGTCACTAAAAATGAGGTTCCCGACAACCATCCCAAAAGATTTTGGGGCTTAGCACAAGTGCTGGCCGTAATATAACATAATATGATATCATATCATATTATAGCGTATGATATTATGGCATATGATATCATATCATATTATGTCATATTCATATATAGATAAGTTAGTGCACATTAAATCCTGTGCATTTGTGTTGATCAATGACTATTGGAGTCTGGGTGTGGTTTAATCTCACACTATGTCGACTTCCTGTGAGCCCCACCATCGCAGGGCACTTGAAGTTGACTCTGCGTTTGCTGGCCTTGAAAGCCTGCGAGAACGGCTCTGATCGATTGGAAGAGGAAGAAGCAAACTATGTGGTGGAATATGGAGGCTCCGACTGCTCCGACTTCTAGCAACGGCTTCAAGCCTTTGCTCAGGGATTTGGGATTCCTCTAGGGCCTCTAGGGTTTAGATTCCATGATGCAAGCCTCCTTCACAGATGTGAGGTCCCCAAACCACAAGAACTCCCAACCGACCTTTGGCCAAAGCATTTTGAAGAAGGCTCGTTAACCTCTGGCGATCTCACATGGAAATTGAAATTCTCAGGTGTTGATGTCCCTAGGCTCTCTCTAGGCTTCGTACCAACAAACTGGTATTTCCATGGGCTGTCCATTCGCCATGCGGAAGGCTCATCGCAGTCGATGTACCTCTGGCGGGAGCTGCAACCGCTGATGAAGAGCGGACATTTCTGGCTACTAAGGCTGGAGTGGGAATCACTGAGTGGTCATTGGGTTGGTTCAACGAGGGAAAAGAAATATTATACTATATATGATATTATGTTTATAATTAATTTTAATTGTAAATATATAAATAAATCAATAAATACACACACATATAATATATATATATAATATATATACATATTTGTTTAATAATTATGTACATTTGAATATGTTGTTTCGTATGATTCTTTCTGGACATGTTCCCTCAGATCATTGCTAAGGTCAGTCGCTGGGAACTCCGTTTTTCTTCTGTCCGGTCACATGCTGAGGCAATGATTCGAAGTCATGGCAAAACCTGGGATACCTGAGTATATGATATGATATGATATATATATATATATATACATATTGTATTATATTACGTTGTATTATATTATATTATATTATATTATATTATGTTATATTATGTTATATTATATTATATTATATTATATAATATTATATTAAATCATTTAATATTATATTATATTATATTATGTAAACCCAACCATAAACCAAACTAAACCAGTCTCAATTGAAGTTTATTACCTGAATTCTTTGATAGATCAACTCCCAGCTGCTGGTCGCAGCAACCGCAGGCGTTGTGTAACTTGGTGAATTTGTGCTGCGGGACCCCGCAGATGGAGCAAGCAGTTTTAGTGGTTGAAATGGTTGGTATTTAACCGACAAGACATGGGGGTTTTGAGAATCTGATATGGTGATGTATAAAGCGTACTGTACATAAGAAATATACAAAGAATGTTCTGCGTGGTGGTTTCATGTTTTTTCATGTTCAAAAGGTTTTTTTGGGGGTGATGATCCAAGGGTCGAAGCCATCATCCCTCAAGCAGTTCGATTTAATTTGGTTGCCCTGAATCATCCAAAATTGCCGTGGAATTTTGTGGATCATTCTACCTTCCGGTAATTTAACATAGCTATGGAAAATTGCCATTTATAGTTGATTTACCCATTAAAAATTGTGGTTTTCCATAGTTATGGGACAGTTTACCAGATGGTGTAGTGTTCAGAGCCATTGGTTTGAGAAGCCTGTTTTTTTTGTTGATTTTTGGTTGTACCCTGGCTAACCCTGGCCCTGAGGAATGTTGGGAATCCTGGGATCAGCTGGTGGTCTACTACGTTTTCCCCTGTCCTGGCATTCAGAGTGTCTTGGACAAATGGATTCGCGGTGTAGAAAACTGTAGATCTTGGGTCTTCCGAAGTGGAAATGGATCTTGGATAAAAAATGAGAAAAAGAAAGCAGCTTGATGTTTGGTTGGTGCTATGGTTTTTCTGGAAAGAACTGCTCCTTGAAGCCAACCTCGTGAGAAGACGTTCGTCATGGGGTTTGCCATGGCCCCAGTTGTTCTGCATAACATGCAGGATTTTGAACCTCCACTTAGGGGCGATTACTTGATGTTCCTTTAAGATTGTGGGATTTTGATGGATTTTGTAGGGTCTTGGCCATACTTGAAATTTGAGCCAAGAGATTGTTGGGTGAGCAACACCGTACGAAACCCGCAAGAACTCCAGATTCCTTCAAATCTTTGATTGGTTTGGCCATGGCAATGTGAACTTTAGCCACCATGCCATGCACACGGCAGGTTTCTTTGCCAGCTTGGAACTTGCCGAGACATGGAACAAGCAATTCTCCTTGAGTAGCATGGATGATGCCTTCAAGGAACCGCCGCCTGAACCTCATGGTTAAATGGATGATTAATGGATGGGTCATCTTTGGGTGCCGCAAAGTTGAAGTACGGTCCCCCAGGGGGATAGCCCCCGGCCTTGCATAGACCCTGTGTTGGGTACCTCTCAGAGGCCAGGCATAGCCAGGCCTAAGCCGCAAGATGTGCCCAAATCAAGGTGGACAACCTTTAGAATATTCTAAATCAATGGCATCTGGAGTCATGATTTTTTTTTTGGGGGTCAATGGGTCAATGCCAGTGATTTTTGAATGATTTTTTTTTAAAGGATCCCCTAGGACCCCAAAATTGGTGTTTGTTCTGGCAGGAAAAGCAGTGGCATCCCTTGCTGCCCATTTTGGCCGAGATGTTGCCAGGTGGTGTTCTGCGCCGAAAAGCCTGGGGATGGCCGACATGGCCATAGGAAAATGGTGGTTTTTGATCAAAGAAATGAATAGAAATGGTGGGTGCACGAAGTTTTTTTTGCCATAAATTCTGGATTAAAGAGCACATATGAATGGTACATGTTGATATCATCCATGTCGTTGGATTGTTAGATATTGTTAGACTATGTTAGTAACTTTGAAACCTAGGAGTTTAGAGTTCCCACATGTTCCCATCCCCATCTTGGGAAATACCCACATCGACCTGTGCCTTGTTTATATATGTTGATATGATGGTTGTAGATGATTGTGATGTCGGTGCTTACAGATCTCGGATGATGTGTGAATCTGCTTTTCAAGCCTGATTCTTCTGGTGTGGGCGTAGCTGCTGCACATGGTTCAGTGGTCCTTCGAATGTTCACGTCCAAATGTGGAAATGGTAATGAGTAATAGCTCTCCGGCTCATCGATACCTTCAAAAAGGAAGAAAAATGCACAGCGGGGATGTTCCCGTTATGGGCCGGCGGGTGTTTGGATGGTTTCACTATGGGCGTTGCGTCTCCCAATGACCGATGTTGCAGGGCCGATGACGCTGACCTTCCCAAGCATGACAGAGGACAAGGCGAAGACCTGGAGCTGGTGACCCAAAATGGGCTTTTTCTACCGGCCTTTTAAAAAAATGTTTAGGAGGGCATTCGGAGATTGCTCCATCCCTAGCTATATAAGGTGAATTGGGTGTCGTTTATTGAATTGAGTGATTCCACCTTTGATCATTGAACAGCTTGCTATGGAAAATCACATTTTTTATTAGGTAAACCATCGATAAATGGGCCACTTCCTATTTTCTATGTTAGTCTACTGGAGGGTTGAGCCGACCAACCATTCACTGATCAGGCACGCTTGCTGGTTGAGTTCTTCGCACGACATCCTATGGTGACTTGGCGATGTGCACCACTTCGTTTTGAAGGTACTTGGATGTGCATCCCCGGTATCAGTGGTTTATAGTCCCTATGTAACTGGGATATGATCATTTATAAATGGAGTATGTATATATATATAAATATCTAATATATATATATATAAATAATATAATATATATATAATTTATATATAAGATATAATATATATATTATGTACATATATATATAAGATGTAAGATGGTTGTAAAGCACTTATGATGCCTGGAATGCACCCTCCAAATATCATATCATTTATGGCTGCTCAAGTGGAATGATTGTCTAATTAATTCAGGTCATTATGGATCCCAATCAATTTCAATGTTTGATGATTTTTGGATCGTCTTTCGTCTTAGACTCTCAACTTTGTTGTTTATACAACTGTGTTGCTGCTTCTTCCCAGTGCCAGATGGTGGTTATGAACCCTATATGACTATGGTTGTAATCCCATGTAATCCGCATCAACCCAAATTATAACAGTTCTAAGCCTCACTGTGGCGTCACTGGAAATATGTTCTATATATGGCGAATCATCTCCCAAATGGCTGCAAGTGTCAGATAATCCAAAGTCATGGGGGTCCTGTACCATCATGGATTAGAGGTTTACAAATGGAGGTTTCCTAAGTCCTGGACGCCTACTGTAAATCCTTCCAGGTCTTCCCTGGGATTTTCCATGAAATCAACCATCCAGCTTGGGGTACCTAGAAAGGTGACGCACCTGCAGCTCTCGGGCTGCACCTTGGGCATGCAGCGCAGCACGCTACGCATTGTGGCGGAGGCTTTGAAGCGAGACCAGCGCCCTGACAGATGGTAGTTGGAAGTAGAAAAACCATAGGAAAAGCCACGGGAAAACCAGGGGAAAATGGGAATTTAACTTGATTTAACCAACACAAATAGGGATTTGAGCAACAAGAATGGTGATTTGCCAATGGATTTCATGGGATTCAGAGCTGATATACTGAGTTCATGGAGGTAGAGTTAACAATCAAAAATATGGGTTTAACCCACGAAACAGAGGGTTTCATGGGATTTATAGCTGATTTATGATAGCTAAGTTGACGCACAAAACTTGGTTAACTGGGGCAAATGGGGATATAGCAGTGAATTGGGTTTATAAATCAACTTATAGCTTGGGGGCCTAACGTTGTAGTTTATGGGGGTAGATCAACCCCCTTTGAAAAACTATGTTTGGGGGGCATGATCATAAAATGTCAATACATTTCAAGTGTAGGGGTAATATGATACATGGATAGTCAAACATACGTATGATATAAATATATATGATATATCCATTTGCATATATGTGTATATACACATATACGTACATACATACATACATACATACATACATACATACACATACACATACACATACACATACACATACATACATATACATACATACATATACATACATACATATACATACATACACATTATTATAGTCGAAAAATTTTAGGGAAGATGCTTGGCTCAACCCCTGACTGACCATTTTTTGGGGCAGGGTTTCGGAAATCACCAAGTTGCAGTCCTCGGACTCGGCGCTCCGAGGAACCTGAAGCATTTGGACTTAAGTACTATCCTCAGTTCTGTGGGATACCGGGTCGCATGATCCGTGGATATCCGTGGGATCCCGGAGGTGACAATTGCCTGGGCTCCGAAGGGGTTCACACCCTCTGCCAAGCGCTGATGGAGCATCCGACCCTTGAGGTGCTGGATGCTCTGGGATGTTGAGTGGTGGCGTTCAACTGCACCCCCTGATGGAAGATGGAAGTGATGCTCATGAATCTACCATATCCAATCCAAATTCTGCATGGAAGATGACTTTGCAGACTTTGCATACTTTGCATATTTTTTTGCATGTTCCCTCAGATGGGGCCCCGTTATGTCCAATCTTCATGTTCGCTCGGGAATGTGTGCCGCTTGATTGGGAATGTGTGTGTGGTGGTGTTTTGCCCCAGCTCCACCCCCACCGCTTTTCAATACCAATTTGGTAATCAAATATGGAGAATGGAAAATCCACCATTTAGTTCGAGGATTTCTCATTAATTAATTAAGACATTCATTTAGTTTGGGGATTTTCCGGCCAGCCACGCTTGATTACCGGAGGGCATTTTAATAGATTCTAGAACATCCTCCGCTAATCAATCATGGCAATGGGGCAATGAAAAGTCCACCACTTACAGATTGGTCTTGTCCCATCAAGACCACCATACAGGATGAAATCAATTCCCATTTTTGATGACCGGAAAGTAATTATTTTTTTTTAAAGACACCCATCAAGCTCTTTTAAGGATGCACAGCGCAGGAGCTGGTCCTGGACCGGAATCACATTGGGCAGGTGGGGAGTGTCAAGTGTCCTGGCTGAACATCCAGGTGTCCTCAAAATCGTTTCAAAAAAACTCCCAAGTTCCCTTAAATTGTAGGAAAACCAAGTTCCCAGGTGCAAGAAGTCGGAAACACTTAAGACTCTTTTGAAAAGGAAAGAACATTTCTCAGACATTTCGGGGTGTGCCAGGTGTACACATCACTGACGGTCAGAGCTAGTTAGTTTCCTCAGGACTTAAATCACTAGATCCCAGCTAGTCTCATGGCTGAGGATCGTGGACCTGCTGCGGGTGAATCACAACATCCTGCGAGTCTTGGAAAACGAAACCGCTGGGATATCCTGGCTGAAGATTCTGTAGATGCTGTAGGTTTTAGCCGCGATTGCCGGTAGGCAATCAAATTAGTGGCACTGGACAATCCTTTTTTTTTTGGTTATGTTCACCTTAAAACTCTTATTTGCTAAGGGATGTGATTTACTATTGCTATGCTGAAATTCCCGGTAGTTGTTCCGGGCATGGATCATCGGCTGTTCTTCGTCTCTTCAACCGACGGCTCATTCCAACAAGGCGCACGTCAGAATGATGGCTGTTCACCCTCCAATCAGATGAGTTGTTTTCATCATTTCGAAGATTGTTAATAATATCTATATAATCATTTGATTATTGTAGTTTATCTATAGGTAATAATTTCCAAACTATATCTTTATACTTATTAGCAATATATATATATATACATATAGTTGCTATTCTTTGTGTTTACTTCTTTTACTGAGTACTGTTACCATCCTAGGAGTGGAGCTGGATGAGAACCCCATTGGCAGCGAGTGGGCTCGCTACATCTACGTTTTGCAACCGGATCTTGATCTGTGGAGCATGTGGCACTTGCGAAATCTTGGGAATGAGAGAAATAAAACATATTGAAACCTCAGAAATATCAGAAAAGATGCAGAAAAAAGTATGATTTTGGTATGGAACAGCAATGATCATAAATGCATTGCAAAACCCCCCAGCCAATCGCAGCGGGTTAGGGCAGGGGGCTATGGATAAACTGGCGAAGCACCCATTCATCGTATGATTGGCTTATAGGTATACCTATAATTCAATCATGAATGCATAGATCAACTATAATGCAACATTACTACTGTACTCCACCTATCTCTCAAATCTAGATATAGTCTAAATGTATTTGGAGTACATCAAATCATCATCATCATCATCCATCCATCCATCCATCCATCCATCCATCCATCCAGTTTTTTTTATCAGACATGTTCTCAAAAAAAACAGTCGGTGGTTGGCTTTCATCCTGCACCGAACGGATGAAATCCTATGAATTTCAACCAACAGATGGATATGATAATCCCCAAAAAAATATGGTGGATAGTGGATTATCCCACCAGTTTTCACAGGATCTAAAATTCCCTTATCGACTGCAGGATTTTCTGAAAACCGCCATGGCCCAGGCAGCGGGATCGCAGCGCCACCCTGGCCTCGGCCCGGAAGTGTCCGCTTCTGCCGGCCGTCGACAAGGCCAAGGCTGCCAAGAGCGGCGCCGGGTCGCGGAAGGAAACGAAGAGCTCCAAGGAGAAGGACAAGGAGAAGGGACGTAACAGATGCTGGGACAAAAAAGGGATGATGGTGGTAGATGATTAATGAGTCATTATAATAAGTCATGAGGATTAAACAAATCATGATTATGATATACGATAATATACTATAATATAATCATGATGATGAAAACGTGCTGCTGAATTTGAGTATGACCCAGGTCTCTCTGAGAAGGACGAGCTCATCAGTGAGATGAAGGAGCAGAGTCAGCGCTGGATGGTGGGGCCAATTGGGAAAGGTTTGAGGCAGTCATGGGATGTCATGGGGTATAATGCTGTATTACTGCCATATGAGTTTTCAAAAGTTGGTCAAGATCAAAGTTCGACACTGTGATGATGGCTCTTTGAAGTAAGACCTAGGTTGTACGAGGTTTTACGATGCTTTACGTGCCGATAGAGAAAACAAACTGTAAGACTCGAAGGAATTGAAGGAAGGTGACAACTCGCCACTGGGCGCTGTTGCATCCGTATGCCATGAACAGATATGCGCCATGCGCGACGTGTTTGTCTAAATTCACATAGCGGGAATCCCTGAAGTTGGTGGCGCGGGAATCCCTGGGTTACCTTCACCCAATTTCTGTTGGAAAACTTCGCATCACAGGATCCATCCCCCTAGGAAAGTTATTATCACCAGCTACTGGTCACTAGGTCCTAGGTAAACCTGGATTGAATAGGTTTGCAATTCTTGCCAAGAACATCCATCAACGGGAATAAATGAATATATATATATATATGTATATGTGTGCAATGCAGATCAATGCAGAAGAACATTACCCTTTGGTGATCTAGCATAGCTATGGAAAATAGGCCATGAAAGTAGATGATTCGCCCATAATTTTGGTGGTGGTTTTCCATAGCTGTGCTAATTGAGGGGGTAAACCGTCAATCCCATGGATAGTGACTGGTTGGTTGGTTAATATCGCTCTCCCAGTTTTGATGTTTGCCCCCCTAATACTATAACCGTCAACCTGCCAATCCTGAATGAATAACCCCCAGGCTACCATTTAAGTATCAGATTATCACTATTGGGGTCGTACCACCATATTATCACATATTATCTCTCTGTTTATTAATCCGAGTTCACATGCTATATATTTACGAGTCCAGCAGCACAGAGAATATAGGGCTTCATGGACAATATATTAAAAAAACAGAGCAAACTAAAACAAACCAGAAAACCAAAATCAAGGAAAAACAAAAGCAAAACAAGAAAAAAACAAAAAGAACACAACACGCCAAGAAGAAAAACAAAACAAAAACACAAACTGAGGATAATGCAGGTTTTGTTTATTTTGTTTTTTCTGGTGACTCTTCCTGTCTTGGTTTTTAAATTTATTTGCTAAAATCAACTTTCTCCGTCACACGGGGTCATAATGCTTTTTTTTTTCCACATAGAGATTGACCAGGCCCCACTTGGAGCTGCTGCAGGAACTGAAACCCGCCATGCCGCTCTCCAGTCGGCTCCGCCGAAAAGAGGCACGGATCGGCACGGCTTCAGCTGGTGAGTTGTAAAGCCATATTGAAGGCATTTGAAGGCCTAGAATATGAGTCATTTATACAGCCGGGATTCTATCCGTTTGAACTGGGCTTCTTTTGGTATGGAAGGCCAGACATCCCAGTTAGAAAATTAGATAAATTAGTCAGGATAGTCAGTAGTCGTTCGTTTTTGTCTACTGACAACGCAAACTGTAGAGACAATAGGATTAATTAACCAGGTTGGTTAGGTTGGGTCAGCCATGCCCTAACTCAATGGTCGTGTATAGTAATTCCATTCATTTGCGAGCGATGGATGTGATGGATTCTTCATTGATATCTAAGGTCCCCCTACTCCAATGAAGTGGAATAATTTAATTGAAGATCTGCGATCATTTGCAACAAGAATTGGCAGCTAACCATTCCACATTCTCATCATAAGTTGATGAAAGTTAGATGAGTTTCACCCCATGAACTATAATACAGTAGCATACATATATATATATACAGTATATATATATATTATATTATATTATATTATACATATCAGTTATATTTGCCATCATAAACCAGAAAATTAACCTACTGAACTAGACCAACTGAAGGATCCCCACGCAGCCACGCAGTTCCTCCAGGAAGATACGGGCCCTGTGTCCCTCAGTGCTCGCACGCCGATGTTGAGGTGAAGCCGGAGGCCTGTTTTCTATGTCTTTTCGGTTACACTCTGGTTATGACTAACATAGCCATGGTATAGATGGCCCATAGAAATAGATGATTTTCCCAGCTAGAAACCTCCATGGTTGGGATTTTCTCCATGGCTATGTTAGTCATAACCAGATGGTAAATGGTTTTCCCAATGGAACTAATGGAACATGGTCATTTTCGATCATTTCTGGATGTAAACACCCAGAAAAACAGTTGATGGTGGCCCATGGCCCATGTTCCCTGACACCAGGTCACTGGCCATGAAGAGGACCCCCCGCCAACCCAAACATCGCCAGGTTGCAGATAACCGCCGCTGACAGTGGCCTTCTTGGGCACCAGGCAACGTTTGAGTTGTCCGGCAGCATGAGTTGGCCCAGCCCAACCTCCGAAGATGATCCGTTTGATGTTGGATATAGAACTCATGCGGGATGGACCCAAACACCCAAGCTGGGTGTGGCTTCAAACATGATTTTTCAGACCAAACGTGGCCATAATCTGATCAACCATTTCAAACATTATAAACCAGGCACCTGGTTGTTTCCTACCGCAGACTGATCTGGGGCTGAAGCTATGCAAGATTCTGCACTGTATATAATTAATGTTTGATATATAATGATATTATTTCAACCGGCCCTAGATCAGCAAACATCGGTGGATCAAGTTGGAGGGCACTCCCTAAAAATTACAAAACATATCAAAACAGATTTTAAAAAAATAGATATGTTCTTTCAATTGTTACGGAGCCAATACGGAGCCTATTTTGTAAAAAGGTAGCCTGACATCAGCTAGGAGTCTCTGGGTACTGGATCCCAGGAAGGTTGGGCCTTTGGCCTCTGGGCAGATGGGATGCCGCAGTGCGTTTTTTGTGCTGCCAAAGCCGCCGCGTAAAATCTGCGGTGGAGTATCTCTTAAGGTCCAAGAAGGACCAGCCCAGAGCTGGGGATGGAAGACCGAGTTTTCTATCTATGGACTCTATGGACTCTAAATGGCCAAGGGATAATTTTCCAAGAAAATGCAGAACTTGAACCCACCAATTGGTGAATTAAAGCACCATTTCCGGGAAATCTTGGCAAATGTGCGGTTGGTTCCACCAGCAAAATTGGAATTCGGCTCGCAGGACTTTCGGGAGAATTAGGCTCGCCATCCTGACAAGCTGTACAATCCCTGTTTGTGAGGGGGCACCCAAGAAATTTTCCGATACCATCTGAGAGTCAGCATCCAGACGATCTGGATCCAACTTCCATCATCAGCGCAAACTAGGCCCAGAGGCACCATGCAGCTGGGAAAATGCGGCAGCTTTCCCATTGTTTCCCTGTAGCCTGTAGGACCTAGTCGAATGCTTCCGATTGAGTCCATTTTTTTAGTAAGTAATGGAAAATCTGTCATGATGTTAATTTCAGATTTTTGATTGATATAATAGTCAGATTATATACTAATATATTAATTATTGGTCATGATGTATATTAATTGCAGACGGCAATGAATGAGTTCTACGACTCAAGTCGTTCCAAGCATACCGCAGCATCTCCACCGAGGAGGACAAGTTGTGCACGGCCAGTGGCAAGCAGCTGGGGTCCTGAGGGGGGCGGCCAGTGACATATAGGGTTTGAAAATCGTGTACCCCAAATCCAGTGGCTGGTCATTAGTTTCTCTAGTAAGATAGCCTTTTTGGGGGTTTATACCCCATTTCCAGACAAGACAAAACCCAATATGCTTTAGATATAAAGATTGAAAAAAGAAGCACTGATCCCACGCTCAATCAGGCACATGAATTACTCTTATAATATACCAGATCGACAGGATATCATCGCTGTGCGAATGTCCTCGCACGTCCCCTCGGGGAAGGGGCAAAGTGAAAAGCGGACCTTCATGGAATTATGCACCTCCAGGACAAGTGGTTTCAAAGATATTTCGGAGTTATTTGAGACCTGTCCATGTGTAGTGTAGGAGCTGATTTTGCCAATTTTGCCAAAGATGAGGGCACACGTGGCTGATCAATACCCCCCCTTTTTTGGGGATGAGCTGGAATGATCTGTAGCCACAATCATAGGATGAACCGCCGCGGCCGCTGGTTCGACGGAAAGTCCTGGCAAAAAGCTGGCCGAGTCATTTCAGGTGGGAGATCTACTACTTCCTGCTGCGGAAGGAAGATGAGGCGAATTCTTGGACCAATCTTTGATTTGATGTGTAAAGAATAAAAAAATGATGCGTTAATCAAAAGTTACAGATTTAGAAGCGACAACAGTGGGTATTGAACCAAGAAAAGACAATCATGAGGAGCAAACCCCACAAAATGGGACAAGATTGCCAACCAACACATGCTTACCTGGTTGCTTTTTGAGATGATGTTCAAGAAAAAATCCCTGGCGTGGTGACTTTCAATGGCTTGCGAGGCCTTTTACGAACGCATTGCCATCGGCTGGCTACTGGAGAATACCGCCCGGATCCCCTGCCGCAGGGCGATGCCTGTTGAGTTTTCGTGGAAATCCCATGGGGAAATCCACAGATTGGTATATGCGGGCATGCGGGCACTACACCATGGGTTATTCTGATGGCTGTTGATCAAAGCCGATGTAGCCTCATAAGTGGATGGCTAAGACAGCTAAAATCAAACATGGCAAAAGAACTTGTGATTCGGCGTGCGACTCGGCAGGACCTGAAACTCACAGACACCTTCGCGAAGGTCGGAGAAGTCTGGGGGGATTTGGTGAATTTGGTGAAGTTGGCTGCATCATTCATCAATGGGGTCAGGGGCAGGGGAGTATAGAACCATCCACGAAGGTGTGGTAACCCCAATCAGAATAGTAAATCCCCAAAATACCATCAAAATGTGGTGTAACGCAATTTCATAAACCATCCCCCAGTCATCACCATAGATATAAATAGGTAGTGTATATATATATATATATAAATCATTCACAGTCATGGGTGGTTTATGGCAATGTTTTACCCACATTATTAGGGCTATGGTAATACCATCCTCAACGCTTGCTGGTTGCTCCAGGATCCCAAGCTGGAAGGCTACATGCGTGCGGAGACCTGAAAAGGTGGAAAGCAGTGATTCGCTTTCTGCGCTGGCAGGAACTATTGGGAATCTATGTATATATGTATATATACCAGTAGTACCGCACAAGGCGGTGGCGGAAGTTTCAATTGTAGGAAACTATAGTAAAGGTGAGTTGTTGTGATGCATGGATGGCAGAGCGAATCCACTGATGGACCGAAAGGTGGTTGGAGTTGGTTGCAGCGGTCACCTCAATACAACTGTTGGATGTAGTGTGGTGTAGCGCAGTTGTAGCTATGTAGTTATGTAGTTGTGTAGTTGTGTAGTTATGAGTTATGTAGTTGTAATTGTAGTGATGTACTTGTAGTTGTAGTTATGTAGTTATGCAATTATGTAGTTATGTACTTATGTAGTTATGTAGTTATGTGGTTGTAATTGTGGTGATGTACTTGTAGTTGACTTATATATGTAGTTATGCAATTGTGTAGCTATGTACTTATGTAGTTATGTAGTTATGTAGTTGTGATTGTAGTGATGCACTTGTATTTGTAGTTATGTAGTTATGCAATTACGTAGTTATGTAGTTATGTAGATATGCAGGCATGTAGTTATGTAGTTGTAGTTATGCATTTGTAGTTTTAGTTGTAGTTGCAGTGGCAGTTGCAGCTGTAGTTGTAGTGTAGTTGAAATTGTAGTTGTTGTAGTTGTTGTAGTTGTTGTAGCTGTTGTGGTTGTAGTTGTTGTTGTTGCTGTTGTAGCTGTAGTTGTAGGAGTAGTTGTAGCGTAGTTGAAGTTGTAGTTGTAGTAGGTGTAGTTGTTGCAATCCTTGTAGTTCTTGTAGCTGTTATTGTAGTAGCAGTTGTTGTAGTAGTTGTTGTAGAAGGTGTAGTTGTAGTACTAGTGGTAGTGGTGTGGTGGTGGTAGTTGCAGTTGCAGTTGTCGTTGTAGTGTAGCGTAATGTAGTCGCAGTTGCCTATCTATTTGTTTATCTGTTTATCTCTCTATTTGTTTGTCTCTCTATCTAGCCATCTTTCTGTCCATCTATCTACCTATCTATCTATCTATCTATCTATCTATCTATCTATCTATCTATCTATCTATTTGTCTATCTATCTAATCTCACCTAATCTCATCTCATCTAATCTAATCTAATCCTATCTAATCTAATCCTATTTAATCTAATCCTATCTAATCTAATCCTATCTAATCTAATCCTATCTAATCTAATCCTATCTAATCTAATGCTATTTATCTATCTAATCTAATCTAATCTAATTTAATCTAATTTAATCTAATTTAATCTAATTATCTATCTATCTATCTATCTATTTATCTATCTATCTATCTATCTATCAATCTATCATTCTATCTACCATTCTCTCTGCAAGCTTGAAAACGCAGAAATCCTGCGAAACTTCCTCAAGTTTTGCACTTGACAACATCCAAAACGCAGCCACTCTACGAGATTTCCTCAATGCCTTGCTTGTAGAACAATGTTTCGAGCACACTGTCATCGGGAGCCTGAACAATACCAGCCAACACCTGATCCCAATTTGAAATGAATGCCCTCAGGTTTTCCCCGCGCAACTGAATGCTGAACAAATCTTGGAGCGCGTAAGTGGCCCCATATTTGATTTTTGTACTGAAATGGTCATGGCTCATGAACAACACTTGACGTCCCCGAACGATTCGTCCGGAAGTGGCTTCGTTCTCTTTGAACGTATCTACCTTGCGAGCGAAGTCACCTGTGATGATATTGGTGAGGGCAGATAGCAGTTTAGCACTTAGGGTCGCAAACGGCGCAACCTTATGGAGCGCTTCAAGGGTCTGTTCTTCCTTCCAGGATTCACTTACCCATTTGAAAGCACTGTCGGGATCTGTAGGCGCTGCAGCTACAGCCTCACGAGTTTTGATTCTCCAGTTGCGGTAGGTTTCGGCTAAAGGAAAAGCAGGGATCTTAATAGTATCAGCTTCCTTGACTTTGGGCTTATCATCACTTTTCTGATCAACGAAACCACCCAAGAACTTGATCATTCTGCGTCGGAACTTTTCATCATCGTCTTCATCATCTTTGTCAGGGTCACCCCCACCATCATCCCATCAGGAGGACCGAACCACCCTTGGGCTTATTCCCTTTAGGCCCTTAAGCATTTTCTGGCCCTTATCCCCTTGATGTTCACCATGTTGATCAGGGGGATTTGGTGGTCTGCCTTGGTTGACGGCGATGTCGTATGTAAACTCCCTTTGGCGCATCAATCTTCCAAAAGTATTGAGTCCTCTCCGCAGCTGCGGCCTCCTTGGCGGCGGGATCTGGAAGGGACTTGTCGAATAAATGTGCGAAAGGGTGGTCTTGGACGGCTAGCTTCACTGGAAGTTCCTGTACATGATCACATCCAAGATAACGACCGGTATCTGTTGGGACATCCATGTCAATCCTGGATCCGACTAGCTCCCATCCTTTCGGCATAGACTCTTTAGGACCTGACATCTTGAAGTCGCATCTTGAAGTCGCCTACATACAAAACGAATCGATGGACAAAAGGCTCTCGACTGAGGGATGCACATGGCCTGGGACACGGATGCAAACAGAGGCGTGTGACGGCTTTGATGAGCTGGCCCCCGATCCTTTGGACTTCGGTGACCTAGGGCTCTTTAGGCTCTTGGAGCGACTTGAGCTACGGGATCCCTTCCTTTTCGGGTTCTTGCCGGTCTTCTTTTTATTCTTAGTCACCACTAGCCGAACGGGCAGGAGTGGCTTGTCTAAGCTTTCCGGCTGAACCCTCCATGAAGAAAATTACATTCGGCCCCGCAGTCACACCGACCCTGTTTCCAAAATTTGCAAACTCTCTTGCCTTTCCCCTTTGGTTTGGGAGAACCTGAACGATCAGGATGTTGCAAGGGGTCTGCCGCGTGAGCAGTGGTGCATGAAAGTGGAAGCGAAACCAAGGCGCGCATGAACCATTTTATCCACACATGTTCGTGCTAATTGCTGTTGCCCGATTGCTCAGGCCTTGTCCACCCCGGCCACGAACACCAACCCGTCCACGAACACCACCCCGTCGACGGCCACCCCCCGCACCTCCGAAGCCAGCAATAATGCCAAAGCCATGGTACCCGCCCCCACCGCCGCCAGCAGTGACAAGCACAACCCGCAGCCATAAGCCGCCAAGTATGCCAAGTGCCGAAACCAACACCGCAAATGTGAAGAAAAGTGGCGCACTCAGCAAGCTGCACCCCACGGTTCCCAAGGCCATTCGCTTGATTTCTGCATGCATGCATCCATGGAAACATTCATCCAAGTGAATCACATTCATATTCATTCATGCGTTTTGAAAACACGTGTCATGTAAGAAAACCCTGGTGTATCTGACGCGCAGGTAAAAAGCGCAGCAAAAGCACATGCGAAGGTTTGCATTTATATTTGCTCCGTTTTTGGCATGCATGCTCTGCCCATGTTCTGTTCGAATTATGCACACTGCCAGGCCGAAGCATCGGAACCTGCTTGCCCCATATCTGCACCGAAGGCTTCCCAGGCACATCCACGCATGAGGCATGCATGAACCCCACCAAGACCCTATCCTCTTGTTCACATTTATATTATCTTTAACCCAAATAAGAAGATTCCGCTTTTGGCATGCATGCTCTGCCCATGCATGCATGTTCTGTTCGGATTATGCAAACTGCCAGGCCGAAGCATCGGAACCTGCTTGCCCCATATCTGCACCGAAGGCTTCCCAGGCACATCCACGTATGAGGCATGCATGAACCCCACCAAGACCCTATGTTCTTGTTCACATCTATATTCTAACCCAAATAAAAATATATAAATAGATTAAATTAAATAAATAAATAAATAAATATATATATATATTAAAAAACAAAAAAAATATATATATAATATATTCGAAATAAAAAATGATATTTTTATTTGCTCATGCGTTAGGAACGTTTGGCCACAGAGAAGATCGAAGAGCCAGAGAGCAAGGCAGGAATATGTTTAAGACCCGAATGCAAAACACATGTCTTAACATAGAGCAATTTTGAATGAGATGCAGGACAGTGGCTCATCTGAAGGGCCCCCGGAAAAGAAACTCCGTGCTGACGACCGCCAGTGATTGGAGAAATGGCGGCAAAAAATATTATGATGCCTTAGCACATTCTCGCATGCATGCAAGAATTTTGCACATACATGACGGCATGCAGTTGTGCCACTTGGTGCTCACTGTCCCATGCACGCATGAGCTGATGTAGTGTTGTCATTCCCCTGTCGCCACGCAGGTATCAATTACAATGGCTTTGTGGGCTACAGAGGCGATGATGGAAGGCCCGGAAACTGCAGCAACTTTGAAAAACTCAACTTGCTTGCATGCATGGCCAATGCAATCATCCATAGAACACATGCATATGTTGCAACATTTGGAAGCTCAAGGGGCATATTTAGGCGAACATGCACTTCCACGCATATTGTCACTACCGTGCCATTTGCGGATCGCGGGTCCATGGTGAGATTGCTTGTGGACAGTCATCTTCTGAAGGTTGGGTCCTAAGAGTATGTTACCTATATTGCTTCATTTGTACCAAATAAGCTCGGAGTATTTCTGCATTTGAACTTGACACATGACAATGTCAAAAAACGATGCAATTCTGCGAGACGTCCTCAATTTTCGACGTTGAAAACATCAAAAATGAAGCAATTCTGCGAGACTTCCTTCAAAAATGGAAAGTTGAGTGCAGAGCTGACGGCCTCGTACCAATGCGTCTTGCGATTTAAGTATTGGCCTGCCACAAAGCCACAACGGCGTACACTTTTTCATCATCTCAACTTCCACAAGTGCTCCGACACTGAAGTGTTTGGTACATTTTGACTTCGACATGGGCTTCGCGCCACAACCGCGTGCACTTTTTCGACAGCTCAACTTCCAAAAGTGCTCCGGTGTAGTGTTTTTTTGTACGTTTTTACTTCGAAATGTGCTTCGCGCCACAACGGCGTGCACTTTTTCGACATCTCAACTTCCAAAAGCGCTCCGACATTGAAGTGTTTTGTACGTTTTTGTTACTTCGACATGTGCTTCTCGCCACAACGGCGTGCAATTTTTCATCTCTCATCTCCCCAGATGGGCCCGCACCCGCAGCTTTAGCGAGCCTACTTTTCGACCCTCCTCAGCCACAAATTCATTGGTAAAACACAGTGTTTTGCGACTTTTCTACCTTTTCGCACGCCTTCATCTTCTTTCTTCTGACTCTTTCTCTTCTCTAATCTTCTTTCTTCTTCTCTTCTCTTTTCTTCTCGACTCTTCGCACCTCTGCTTTCTTCATTTTTCCATATTGTCATTGCCGGAAGTTTGACTTCTAAACTTCCTTCGCTTATATATATATATATATATCTGTGTGTGTGTTTGTCATGTTGTGTTCTGGTGACTTGCTATCGTTTTGGCGTGATGTGTTGATGCTACCCTCTGAAAAATGGCTCTTTGGCTGTGCCATCTTATTCAAGATCTTGGTGGTTTGCTTAAATTTTGGACAAACAACAAGACATCTCCAGTGGCCAAGCAAAAGTTGCCGATGTTCTTTGGTTTCTTCTGCTAGATTGAGATTTTCCAATTTGGATCAGCCCCATGGTTCAGAGGTATCAATGCTGTCGGCGTTGAGTTTGGCAAAACCTTGGTTTCGTATGGTTTGATTAGCTTAAACGGGGCTATATGATATATGTTGTCGCAAACCAAGGAACAGAAAGTTCAAACATGGGATCATGGGCCCAACAATTGTTGTAATGGAACATGTGCAGTAGCTTTCATATATTTGGGCTTCAAGGATTGGTTTAACGACGAATCTGCAGGCTGTCGCCCTTAGATTTGGAGGTACAAAGCATCGTCCAAGGTCGCCAGACCACCAGTTGGGCGCTGCTCAGTGGCCGGAAGAATATCGGTAGCTGAGCTGCAGTAGCAATGCAGCCACCAACGCTTGGGCCTGTCCACAAGTGATGCTTGATGTCACGGTCACATTGATGTTTGGGAGGTGCATGGTGCAATCACGTGTTGTAGGCCGGTTTCTGGGCGATGCTCCCCCGGTGACCTTGTTTTTTTATTCCAGGCGTTTTTGCTGCCTGAACGTGCTAGACTGTTCTCAGACGAGCTGGGGCAAAGCCCCTTCCTATTATAGCTGTTCATTGGAGCTCTTCCACTCAGCAGTGGGATCTCCCAGAACCTAGAGGTCCCATTTGGATTCGTTACAGTAGCGTTGTGCTCCCATTTTGATCGGTGAAAGTTTCGTTCACATCTTGTTAGGCTATCCTTTGGTAGTTATATCCCATTGCCTTTCCATATTGCCATATTTAATTCTCATATGTTCCCGCGATATCCTCCATAAATGGAAGTTTTAGTGTGAAAATCATCATATATCACCGTCATATTCCACATGATTTTTCAATATTATCAAAAATATTACCATATGATTCCCGTTTGTCCCCCATGATATTCTCCATAAGTGGAGGTGTATTCATATATTCCCCATTGTTTACCATATTACCATGTATTTCAATGGGAAAGTCATCATATCCCCCATTAGAACGGCATGGGTTATATATATTTCCCCATGACCAAGTCATATATCAGTTCTGGCCGCTAAGGTCAAATGGAACAGGACGAGTTCATTGAGAGGTGCACGGGTACCGTGCTTACCTTTTTCGACCAAAAAGTTGCGGTCATGTGGGGGCCATTTCCTGCACGGTAGATTTGAGCCCTGTACAAGTGCATCATGATTCACATGTAAACACACACACACATATATATATATAATGAGGGATCCCCGAAACCATGGGTTTCAATGATAATATGGTCTAATAAATCAATGCCTTGGATACAGTGGAATGCTAAAGTCGTGCCTAAAATTTGGAAATCATCGTAAATAGCTGGGGAGCACTTGATTTGAAAAGTCGTGCCTCTTTAGTAAAACGCATAGGAATTGCAATGTTTTGTTGGATTTGGTCTTTGGAATAGTTTTTGTTAATAAATCTTGCGTTTAGGTTGTGTTTAGCATCAAGGATACCTTTTCCATATTGTTAATAAATCTTGCGTTTAGGTTGTGTTTAGCATCAAGAGTACCTTTTCCATATTGTTGTTAAATCTTGCGTTTAGGTTGTGTTTAGCATCAAGAGTAACCTTTTCCATACCAAGTCAAACTGGATGTGAGTGTAGCGATGAGTTGGTGTTTCTATCTTTTTCTTTCCAGTGTGCTGCGGCTTCCATTTTCACTTTTCACTGCGTGCTCAATGCGGCATTGTGGCACTTCAGCGTGTTGCTTGAGATGGAGGTGAGAAGGGTCATTGTTGTGTCTTCGTGTCGGTTTTAGTTTCTTATGTTATTTTTTGACGTCGATTGCTACGTTGTTCGGACGTCGTTCGGCACGTCGTGGTTTCAAAACTAGGAAACTTATAGGAGAGGTTGGTTGTTGTGAATCACGGATGGCAGAGCGAAGCCACTGATGGACCGAGAGCAGCAAAGCGAGAAGAGTCAGCAAAGCGAAAAAAGTCAGCGGACCGAAGCGGCAAGTATTTCTCAACCCCAGAAACATGAACGGTAGAATGCAACTGTAGACGGATTTTTGCGAACATTTGATTTTCCCAAGTGTGGAAACATTCTTCTTATACATACGCGATTCCATGGTGTTTTAAGATTTGGGCATGACTTAGGCATGAGTTTCTTGAAACAGCGATTCCATGGTGATTTACTAGCAAGTTTTGACCCAGGCATGAGTTAGGCATGAGTTTGTCGTTTGACTGTATCTTGGATGATTTAGGGGTACTACTCCCATTTTAGGAAACATCCATATATATATATATGTATATGTACACACATCGGGTATACATGGATCACATGGTGCGCAGGTTTCATAATTCACCAGGTCATCAGGATTCTCTGCAGGTGCCGACACAGCAAGACAGCAGGGCCAATTTGACCTTCCAAAAATCGAGGACTTGATTGGAAAATCCTAGCTTGATTGGCGTTTTGATGGGACAATCTTCTATAAATGGGTATGGTAAAGTAAACTATTCCAACAATGCAAAAAGGTTCCAGGATCACGGACGCACATCCACCTGACAGTTGTTTTGCTGGATATGCATCGCCACTTGATGCCGAACCTGTTTCAGGGTTTCATTGCTTGCATCCATTCATTGGAAATCAAGGCCAAAGATTTGACACTGAAACGCGCCAGATTTTGGCTGATTATTCGTCTTGTTACCTTGTTTGGGAACCCGATTTGAAACTTGTGGTCTCGACATGTCTCTCGACAGATTGACCAGACAGAAACAGATCCCGGAGTACGCGAATTATTGAGCACGACCTCATGACCCGACGTTACTTGAATGGGGGCCTTTGATATGGGGAATCATCCCCAAATGGCCTTGGTCCTTGGTGAATTAGAATCTATCCAAAAGCATCATGAATTATCACAGGTTGAATTCTGTCTTGAAGGAAAGGCTTGAAACCAGAACTCTATACTTGGAAAGGCTTACAACCACAGAATGACCTGGTTTGAGGGAAAATCTGCAGGAGACGATCGTTTTTACCATTAAATACGCAGTTTCTTCCTACAATTTTCGGATAAGTTGTTATACATAGATGATCATAGATCTGTGTTTTAGAAACGTTGGGGAGATGTTTATACCCAAAATCAAAGGTGACTTTGTACTACTGTATGTACTGAGCATTGGCCATGCTTCTGCTGATGCATCCAGTAGTTTTATGCTGCAAAAAGACATGTTCACTTTGTACGGGGTTTTATTGGCTCATAAATAAAGGAAATCTTGAAAATAAATCCATGCTCATGGTGCAAGTAAGATTCCGGTATCTTCTACCTACAGCAGCATGGTGATTCGTTATATATCCTAGTTATTATCTCGACGTGGATGGCGGCCACTCGAAGCGCCACATATTTGAGCGTGTATCAAAGAACTTGATACCGGCAGGTCATAAGACACGTCAAGAACTGAAAAACAGTTAGCTGCCAATAAAAAGATCAAAGGATTCTGCAGGATGAATCTCAATGGATATTATAGCTGTGACTAACGCCAACAGGTTACCTCGGAGGCTTATATCTGAGGGCTAACGATCGCTTGCGGCATGCGATCATCCAAGCTAGAATGGCTTCGTCATCGGTGGAACCGACAGGCCATCCCAATCGCATCTGGATGGGGTTTGAAGGCGTGCGAGGTCTGTTCAAAATGTCTGGCACATATGGGCACTCCCATATCTCATGTTCCATTGTTGAGATTTGTCCACAAGGACAGGCGATAGGCAAACCAGTGCGGTTTTGGAGACAGGCTTGCGAGACACAGCCACCGGTCATGATGGCAAAAGCGCGGGCATTGTCCGAAGAGAGCTTACGAGCTGCCTGACAAGATTTCTCCAAGTAAGGTACTTCACGGCACATATCTGCGTCGTTGCGATTCGTGTTCTGCCACTTGGTGTAGCAGTAAGCACGGAAGCCCTCGCGCAAGCGATGGGATAGCAAATCAATGTCAGGCACGAACGCGGAATTGTTAGGGTCAAGGGCCAGGGATGCGGTTTTACCATCATCAGGGTGCCTCCATGTCCAAGAGCCAGTTCTATAAGCCACCCAATACGGGAGAATTTGGTTGATAAGGAACCTGAAACACATTGAAACACCAAGCTTAGTCCATGCAGGCAATGGGCAATGCTGCAAGAAACGAAAAACGGCACTGACACAGGTCTGCAACATGTGAACCTATGTGAAGATTATGGCGGCCTCTAAGGATGTCGCGCAAGAAAATACAAGAGCGTTTAGGCTCGTTCAAGGCTTTTTTAATGGCAATCTGCAATCACATATTGCAATGTGAGGGACATGCATTAGCCAACCAAATCGCACCTTAGATAATGGCCCCACGAAAATAACCAATCTTTTTTACGGCACACCGGTAAAGGAAGGCAAGCAGCCCCCCGGATGAGAGCCATCGTAGATGAGATACGCTCTTTCTCTTTGGCATTCAATGATTTCTGTTGCAAAGGTCGAAAAATGTGAGCCAAAATGCAAATCTGGTCAGTCACATTGGCAGCTGGAATCTCATGTCGGCACAGCGCGTGATGGCCAGCAGCTTGGGCATGGTAAGATTGAGCTTTGTCCTTGTTTTCAAGTAAACCAAGCAACGTGGACCAACCGTTCCCAGATGAAAAACCATTCAAAGCCTCGGTGACCGTGGGGGCGGCCCAAGATCTATCATCCACTGCGCTGAGTGACCGGTGGGTGCGTTCTGTCGATCTCCCACATGGCTGGACACAGCAAAGCAACCATGGCAAGAAGTGACCACGGGTCACCTTGTGGCAAGCGGGTACCGACACTCTCCGGTGCAGCCACCACGAGGAGAGCCAGGTTTGACAATCAGAGCACTGAAGGCGGCTGGCGGCCCGCAGCCGTACCAAACTGAAAAGAGAGTTACTGGACGTAGCCCAGTTACGTCCCGGGCATTGTCTTGGCGAAGGCCTTTGGAGGAGGTGCACTTGCGAGGCACAACGCCAATCATTTGGACGTTTGTTGGCATTTTCACACAAGGTGCAAAAGTCAGCAAAAGGTATGAAGGCTTCAGGTGGTAATGGTTCAAGTTCAGATCCTAACCAGCCATCAGGACCTGCCGCCTTGTTGTTCATTTTCACTGCTTTATCACGCAGTTGCCACTGCGTCAAAGGTTTCCAGGCTCTAACGTGGCGCAGATTCGGTAGGGCATCAACTTCTGCATCGACTGCGTTGAATGCAGCATCAAAATTGAGTTCAGGACGGTGCCACATGCAGCGTCAGTGATTCCGTCATGCATTAGTGGGCGACAATTTATTGAAAGCTACTTGAAACTAGCCCGTGACAGGGGATAAAGGTCAAAGCTTTAAACATCTTTAAACCATCTATAGCACTGAGAGGCAGATTGCTGCATTCTGGCCTTCCACTTTTTGATATTGTACGTTTTGAACGTTTTACGTGCTTGCTCAAGTTGGGCGAGTGTTGCCGCAATGTGCTGGTTCAGAGAGAGAGAGAGAGAGAGAGAGAGAAGGGTCGTAGAAGAGGGATCCACGACTCTTCTTCATCAAATTCTCATATCCGTCGCTGTTTGTCACTGAGGCCAGGTGATTGACCCCTTGAAGTTTGGCAGCGAGGTTACGGAGCTTGCGAATCTCAAAGCTATCACTGTCATGGTCAAGTTGGCAACAGGGTGACATGTTGTTATAGTCACGCGAAAAGTCATTTTTGGCACCGGAACACCGAAATTCTTTCCCAAGGTGTCGAAAAGCAGTTTTCTTCGCATACCAAAGCATACTATTTATGATAGTATAAACTCAAAGCATACAAAAGTTGATCCGAGGAGCACGGCAAACTCGGAGCTGGGTTGGCAGTGAGAAACTCGTGACAAAATTGGAACCACTGGTCAATAGGAGTTTCCTCAGGTTTTGCGAGGTCTGGTGTCTTCTGAAAACGGAACGGATGTTCATGGGACCTTGCTGCATGAAATAGTATCACACTGGGCAAAAATCTTGTGATCAGCAATTGCTTCTTCCGATCAGCAATTGCTTCTTCCGAAAGGGCAATGTCACTGTCACGAAAAATATCGGGACAAGATGTTATGAAGTAATCAATACATCTAGAACCTTTCCATCTAGTTGGTAGAAATTGCTGGGAAATGTTGTGTTTAGCGGAAAATAAGGACAGGCCAAGAAAGGTTTCATTTTCCAGCAAGGATTGTTCACTAGGGATATCGTTGAAATCACCAACACAAACCCGAGGACAATGTCTTGACATTGACATATTTATATATATATGCCTTGACGACATGAAGTGAATTTCAAAACAGTGCTCTAAGAATGGTATCCTCGGCTGTTGCGGTGGTTAAGAAACTGTTGTCCAAAACAACTCCGAGAACGCGTCGCGTAGTGAACCCTTTCAAAGCTCGCAGAAGTTGCCGTAATGTGGTGAATGAGATGGACTGCTAAGGGTGGGTCGCTAGGTGGACCTGGTGCCTCCGAGCCAATGCGTGGTTGCAGCACGAGGGTAGGAGCCTGCCAAGCTGAGGCGCCCATTTCTTGCAAATTCTATGATGGTCGGATTTTTCTGCGGAGCCTGTGGGGCCATTTGTTTCAAAATGTTCCACTTGTTTGTCAGCGGCCCAGCAAG